GATATCCCGTGAGGGAGGAAATCAGACAATAGATCCAAAAAAACTGGGGAAATTAAAAATCCGAACTTGAGGGAGGGTGGGAGGCAATGCATTCTTTTCACAGAGCCATGACACACCGTGCAACTGTCCTCAAAAGCGAGAATGGAAAAAACCAGACACTCAGCTGCAGAAGGAAGCCGGGGTCCTGGCTTTATAGCGTTTAATGTCTTTGGAATTGGGCTGGGCATCAAGTGCCTTTTCCAGAATAGGCCAGAGAAGATCAGTCCAACTTGGTTTTTAAGGCTTTAGTCAGCCTCGTGGCCAGCAGCTGGTGAGGGACACACCGTGGTGGGGGTACACCCAGTTCTTCCCCGACCAGTCTTAAGTCTTGCCCTGCCCCGGATGGTGAACATAACCAGATTTGCTTGCTTGGGGTCGGCTTGTTGATCACGTAGGTTCCTGAATCTCCACCCAGTTTAACTGTTAAAACACCACTCCCAAATGGGACATCATAGTCATCGAAGGTGTAAGGTTTGTCTGCAAGGTCTTCAACAGACTCTGCTAAGGAGCCCAGTGTCTTCTCTGCCAGTCTTTCATAGGTGGTCTCATCCAGAGAGCCAGGGTCGCCCGAAGTTCCCGCTGTCCACATAGTCATCCAACAGACGCTGGGCTTTTTGACATCCACGATCTGATGGAGGCTCAAACTAGCGGGCCTGGGCATGCGGGTCGCTGTGGGCCCCCGCAGAGGTGCAGCCGGACAGCCCTCATCGGCCCCAGGGCCCTAGCCCCCGCCTGGCTGAGCCCAGGGATGTCCTATGGGACAGGAGGTGGACAGCTGTGGGGGTGCCTGAGCGACCACGTGCTGCTCATAGTCTGTGGCTGCTCCGCCCTCCCTCCAAGGTCTATGACATGCAGAAAGTAAGATGTAGGAACCCATGTTACCGTGTGCGCTTCTGTTGTCACAAAGTACTTCTGTAAAGATGAGAAAGACGCTGCCTCTGGGGCAGAAAGCTGGAGGCCTGGGGACAGTGGTGGAAGGAAGAGCTAATATCACCCTTTTGTACCATTTGTACCATTTTTATCATGTATAGATACTGCCTATAAAGATATTTTGTAATCGGGGGTGCCTGGGTGATTCCACTCGGTCAGGGTCGTGAGATCGAGCCCCAGTGGGGCTCTGAGCTCAGCACCGGGTCTGCTTAGGGTTCTCTCCCTCTCCCTCTCCTTAGTCCCTCCCCCTCCTCACACCCTGTGCACACATACACACTCTCTCTCTCAAATAAATAAATAAATAAATAAAATCTTAAAAAAAATATTATCAGTAAGCTAGAACTTCAGCCCAGTCCTGGAAGAAGGTGAGGGGTGGGATTGAGCCCCAATAAAGGACCAATGACAGACACAACACCCTTGCTTCAGGTCAAGGTCTGTGCAGGCCTGGGGTGCACCCAACAGAGAGGTCAAGTGGTCCCACCGAGGGGGAGAAGAAAAATGCCAAGGCTAGGCCACCCCTGGGTTTTCACAGGGTGGCGTGAACTCCCTCTCCTTGGAAGAAGAGGGATTTCAGTGGTAGGCAGCGAGACCAGTCCCAGGACGAGGTAGCAGAGGGCACCCTAAGTCAGAGGTGTGCAGGATGCCTGGGAGGTTCTGATGAAGAGGGTAGTGCCCCTAAAAATGTCTCAAAGTCACATCTTCAGCAGAGAGCTTTTGCGGGTCTTTAACCCTGGAGTTCTGACGCATGAACTCCCAACCTCCTAGCCATGACCTCAAGTTTTGCCCAAAGGAGAAGTGAAAGCCACAGTTAGGTTTTCTCTGCTGCTGGTTTTGCATCTCTGGCAAGATGAGATGTCTCGGAAGGCCAGCTCAGGGGATGGTCCCCAATGCAGATGACTTCACTGCCTAGGCTCAGCAGGTACCAGACACTCAGCGCCTTCCCAAATGTTATCTTATTTAATTCCCACAAAAATCCTGCAAGGTCGGTAGCATTATGCCCATTTGGAGCATACAAGCTTATGGAGGGACGGTCACGTAGGACCTTGATGCAAATTTCAGCATCCCCAAGGCTTGAACTGCTATCCTCACTCCTTACAGTTGATGGGACACTGTTGTGAGTTGGATTGTGCCCCCCCCAATTCATATGTTGAAATCCTAGCCCCAGTACCTCAGAATGTGATGTTGTTTGGAAATAGGGTCATTGCAGAGGTAATTAGTTAAGATGGGTCGTTAAGGTGGGCCTCTGATCCAACAGGACTGGTGTCCTTATGAAAGAGAGGAATTTGGAGACAGCCACGTGCACAGGGAGAACGCCATGGACAATGAAGGCAGAATTCAGAGTGACAGGTTTACCAGCCACAGAATCCCAAAGATTGGCAGAGAGCCCCGAAAGTGAGGGGAGAGGACTGGAGCAGATCTCCCTCACAACCCTGAGAAGGACCCAGTGCCCCTGCTACCTCGATCTCAGACATCAAGCCCCTGGAACTGTGAGAAAATAAATCTTTGTTATTAATCCTGCCAGCTCGTGCAGCCCGGCAAACTGACATGGGCAGTATGTTCTGTCCCCCAAACCATCCTGGAGTACAACCCCATGGGCGTCCTTAATGTAGGTCTTCTCCATTCTCCGGCTGCTGGTGGAGCTCTGGGCAGAACCCAAACCTGAGCTGGCCAGACTCCTGATTAAACTATTTCCAGGATGTTGTCAACAAAGACCTTCTACCATCCCTTCTCTGGACCATCTGATGGGAGAGAGGAAAAGATTCTTGACTCTTCTGCTGAACAAAACTGAGACAAAGGGGCCCCCAGGAGAACCACTCCTAGAAATGTAGGCTCTTAACAAGCAAAGAAGAGGCAAGGACCATCCCTATGATGTCTCATCTTCCAAAGGGAAGTGAAACTAGACTCAACTCTGGCCACAGGCCTAGGGTCAAGGACATATTGGGAGGCACAAGTAGAGGACAATTCTCCCAAGGCTTGATTCTTGCCTGGAACAGCTGCTTGGAATTGAGCCCCTCCCTAACAGGGCCCTGGGGGCCTCAGTTTACCCACCCTGAGCTGACAGGTATCAAACTTGGTCAGTGCTGATGAGCCTCAGCATGGGCCTCCTCACCACCCCTGAGATACACCAAGAGGACTTCCAATGCCCAACGGTAGCCCCTCCCTTCTCCCTTACAGGTCAGATCAGGGAAGAGGGAGGCGTGGGTGAAGAGAAAACCAGTCCTACATACACACGTGCACACAAGCATACCCATGCAAGCACACGCACACACACGCACGGATACACTCACATGCACACATGCTCATGTACCAACATACATGTGGACATGTATGTGCATGCACGGGCACATACGTGCTTGCCTGCTCCAAGCTGTGAGAGCCTCCAGACGCCTGCATGGGGCAGAGAGAAAACACTATGTGGTAGAATATGAGATTCAGGTTGACACGGACAGGACCAAGTCTTAAATTAAACTGAACATGATGGAAATGTTTGAATCATGACTGAGATGTCATGAAAGGAGCCCCATCCAGGGGAAAAGGAGGATTTAACACAACATAGAGATTATCAATGATGGGAAAATGAAAATTCTTCCATGTTCATGTTCAGGGGTGCTATCCAGGACTGGCTATCCAGGCCCTTCAAGAGGAGATTCTGCCCATGTTTGTGCCTACTCTTGGACCACGCTCTAGTCCATTCCTGCCCCTCACCCTACAGTTCCCCGAGCCTTCTGGAATGTGCAAGGCTGCCTCAGGCTTCCGTGCCCTGCCTCATGCTGTTCCCTCTGTCCAGGATACCTTTCCTCTCTGTGACTGTTTGCCAAACTCCTGCAAGTACTTCGAAACCCAGACCAAGCGCCTCTCCTGTCTTGATTGTTCCCTCTCCAGGCTCCCATGGGCCCTAGGATGTAAGCTGTCAAAGCACCTTGGATGTCTTACCCCAGTGGAATTTCATGTTGATTTGAGTCGGAGGAGATTGAAGCTGGCAGGATGCAAAAGAGGGTTGAGAGCCAGACTGCTCGCTGTACGTCTCATTATATGGATTGACTGTTGAGCATCGTGAATGTATTTCCTATCTGAAGAAAATTAAAGATATGATACAATACAATAAAAGGATCAATCCAACAGCTGTGTGGAACACTGCTCTACAATAGACAGGAGTGAATTATTGACACATAAAATACCATGGATTCATCTCAAAAACATAATGCTGCATGAAAGAAGGCAGCCAGCACGGTCAGGACGGGCACTGTATGGTTCCATTCGCACGAGGTTCTAGAACAGGCGAAATGAGTGGATGGTCCCAGAAAGCAGGTCAGTGGTTTTCGGGGTAGGAGGTGGGATCAGACATCGGCTGGGAAGAGGCACGAGGGAGATTCTTGGGGTGATGCAAATGTTTTTATCCTGATGACAATGTGGCTACACGGATATATACATGTGTCAAAACTCCTTGAACTGTACACTTTAAAATGTCTGCATTTTATTGCATACACATTATACCTTAATAAAGTTGATTTAAAACAACATAGGCAAGAGAAAAAAATGCAGAGCCTTCCAGAGCCGAGAGTTGCAGAATCCATTTGTCAGGCCATGTGGGCTGACTTGCACATGATCTTGATGGTCTTGCACGGTGTAAGCGGGGACCGGCGGGTTCCAGGGGAGCCAGAGGGCGAGCTCAGCCGGACCTGGGCTGGTGGCAGGTCCAGCTGGAGAGGTGCGTCAGAGCCAGGTTGTGGCTGTAGACAGTGGGGAGTGAATGGAGGTGTTCCGCTAGAAAAAGGTGTTGCAGGGAGGCTCCCAGGACAGCAGAGCTTGGAAGAGGAAGAGCTTGGACGTGGCAGCCCCACTTCCGCTACCCTCAGGCCAGAAATAAAACCTCCAACAATTTCACAAGCAACCTTCTCCCCATCTCAAGTTGCTGAAAATTGGGCTTCCTCAAAGCCTAGAACCTCCCCGCCCTCTCTCCCAACGGGCTCAGTTCCTCATCTGGCCACTGGCTTTATAAGCTCCCCGGCCCTGCTGCCACCTTCAGCAAGGGAGGCTCCTACAGAAAGCAACCTCTGCCCAGGACGTTGCTGAGGACAGGATGATGGCCAGACCATACTGTGTGGTAGTCGCCCTATTGCTGCTGGCAGAGGTCTCTGGGTTCAAAGAAGGGGCATCCAATCCTGGGTTCGTGGCCAGAATCACCAGAAAAGGCCTGGAATATGGTAAGGGGGGGGCGGGTGTCAGCCATTCCTCTGGTGTCCACCGTTGCCCACCAGAGTGGTGTGGTAACCAGGACAAGGGACCACAGGCTGGGATTCTGCCCCTGCCTGGCTCAGAAGCCTTGGATATGTCCCCCTCTGGGCTGCAGTTTCCTCGTCTTGAGTATCAGAGGTGAAGGACGGGACCAGACCAGCGTTTTCCCCAGGGGGTCCATGGACCACCCTGGAATTGCCGGGACATAAGTTAAAATACAGATTCCAAATATCCGTCTCCTGTCAACTGAAGCTAGGCTTGGGAATCTGCATTGTGAACATATGGCCCTGGCAACAGTGAAAAACCCAAAGGTTTGACCACGCTGCAGGGAATGCGTCCTCAAGAGCCTCACCGTATTGTATCATTGCTTCCATGATCTTGTCGAGTAGATAAACAACGCCTGCCATTTACCTGGCACTTTGAGTGCATGATCTAATTTAATTCTCACGCTCCGGTTGGTATCATCACTATGACCATTGTACAGTTGGGGGAAGTGAGGCCCAAGGAGTTTAAGAGTCTTGCTTGGGAGCACGCCAAGAGGAAATGGCAAGCCCTACATTCAATCCCAGTCCATGTGATTTCAAAGCCCGGCCCCTCGGCTGTTGGGCTTGGCTGCCTCCCACGGCATGAGCTGCCTCCCACTATTTCCCCTCAGCCCGCCGATTCGGAGTAGCCATCCTGAAGAAGGAGCTGTCCACAATCAAGTTGCCTGATTTCTCAGGAAGCTTCAAAGTCGGCTGGATTAAAAGTGTGAGCTATGACTTTTACAGGTACGATCTCTATTCTCCACCGTAGGGGCAGTGGAGGAGGCAGAATGGGGGCCTGGGTTCCTGGGGGAGGGGGATAAACATGGAATCATCACTTGGATTAAAGGCAAAAGGATCATGACCAGCTCTTGTGGGGCTTCTGGAAGGTGCTATATGTTTCTTGAATCATCAGGATGGGAGGGAGAGCCTTAGAAACCATTCACAGGCCCTGAGGTCAGTCCTGCAGAAACTAGCCATAGATTTTTGCTCTGCCAGAGACCCCTGGCTACTCTCCTGATTGCCCAGATGAGGGACCTGCTTGAGATACACTATCCATCCCTCCAAAGCCTTTTAAGGGTCTGTAATGAAGGACTTTTAAGTTTTTCTGGAACCTGTACATACTTTATTTGCATACTGCTTCTTGAGGATAGCATCCACACATAACCCTAGTGAGGAATAAAGCAGCTGGCCTCCTGGTCCTGGTGAACCAGTCCCAGCTCCTCATCTCCCTCCCCATAAGGCTTAACTGACCTTAATCTCCCTGTAGCTTTTACACAGTCAATCTTAGAGTCTTCACACCTTACTCTTTCTTTAGCCATTCCTTGATTGCATGGATTTTTCTTCCCCAGGCCCCTAAGGGTCCATAATAGGTTTTGGGGGATCATTTATTCATCCCTGATAGAAAAGACTCCCTCTTGGAATCCTCCCAAGTCTCTCAGGATAATTTCCTGAAGGCAGTGAGCAAAAAAGAGCTACTTTAAATTTGCACACACACACACAATACCCAGGCCATGCCACTTAGAGGTCAAGGGCCCTTCCCACAGCCCTAGAGCATCCCTTGCTTCTGGTTTTCACATTAGGCCATGGTGGTTTGTTAACACGTCCAGGTCTACCACCAGCTGTGAGCTCTTCAAGGGCAGGATCTCAATGGATGTTTGTTGAGTGAACTAATGAGGGTTGATGCAACAAGAGCCACGAACTCAAATGGCCACAAGGAGGGGCTGATGTAGATGAGTGTACCAGGCAGGGTGACTATACCCATCACGGACCAGCCAAAAAAGCGGAATCCACACAAGGAATTTCAATGGGGGGAATCTAATACAGGGAATCTTCCTGAAAGGTGTTAGAACAACCAAAAAGCCAAATAGCAAACACTGAAGCAGCCCAGAAATTAGCAACAACAGAAAGTCACTAACAACTCTAGAGCCAGAGAGTTCGCTCGGAAGACTAACACGTGCCTGGCTTTTCTGGGTTTGATATTCTGCCTTCCTTCCCCAGACTGAAGATCCATTGCTTTGAGCTCAGGAACTCGGATTTGAGGCTGCGCCCAAGGCAGGGGGTCAGAGCCTCCCTGTCCAATAACTACGTGTTTGTCAGTGGGAACTGGAAGGTGAAAAAGGCTTTCATGTGAGTAGTACTTGGGTTAGGATGTCTCTCGATCAATCTACAAAGGAACCAAATCTGACCATCTCCACGCCTCCATTTATTTATCTGTAAAATAGGATTAATAACAACCCACCTCATTGATGCATGTGGATTAAGTAAAATAACAGATGTGAGGTATTTAGCAGTTTGCTTTTCCGGCACACAGAAGATGCTTAATAAATGTTGGCTGCAAAGTAGAGGTTAAGTTAGGATACACAGCTAGTTAGTAGGGAACTGGGGACTGGTCTTTTGGCTTCTCTTTCAGGAGGTGACTGATTATACACCATTTGCTTCCCGTAACTCCCAACCAGCACCCTAGCTGGTACTTTCGATGTGAATGTGGATGGCATCTCTATCTCAGTCTCTCTGAACTTGGGCAAGGACCAGTCTGGACGGCCCACTGCCTCCGTGTCCCACTGCCACAACTCCATTGGCCACATCAGCGTTGACATTTCCGGACAGCTAAGGTAAGCGACTCCATGCACTTGCTGGAGATCGTCAGAGACGCCTCGGCATCCGGCTCACCCAGGGATGCTCCTGATGGGGCATAAGAGCAAGATTTAAGGTGCATCAAGATCAGAGGTCAGCCAACTAAAGGCCTACAGGCCAAACCAGTCTGTGTCCTGTTTTCATAAATAAAGTCATTGGAGCATGGCCACGCTCATCTTCTCACATGCCGTCTGCGACTGCTTTAGTCTACAACAGCAGAGTGGGGTAGCTACAACAGAGACCATGTGGTCTGCAGAGCCCAAAATATTGACTGTCTGGCCCTTTAAGAAGAAGTCCGCTGGGGCACCTGTGTGGCTCTGTCGGTTGAGCATCCGGCTCTTGTTTTTTGTTTTCAGCTCAGGTCATGATCTGAGGGTTGTGAGATTGAGTCCCGCATCGAGCCCCATGTCAGGCTCAGCGCTCAGCACAGAGTCTGCTGGAGATTCGCTCTCTCCCTCTCCCTTTGCCCTTCCTGGGGTGGTAATAGCTCCCTACTCTCAGTGGGGGGGCGGGGGGCAAACAGAACAAATAGCCAATTGCCTCTTTGCTGGACATGTATTTGCTGGGTGACCGTGTTGTGGGGAGAAATGTCAGCAGAAAGGTGGGGTCCTCTAATCCTGTCCGTTTCAGGGGAATTTGTATTCTGGCGAACCCAGAGACTTAGCTGCGCATTTACTCAACTGACAAATGTTTTCTGCACAACGCGAGAGCCTTTGAACTCAAGGCTGCCATTTGGAAAAGGAAACTTTTAGTGGAGACTGGATAGCTTGACACCACTGTGCTGTTTTAACTGGGTGAGCGTAATGCCCCGTTTCTCAGAAATTCTGTGTGGGTAACACCCATACACACACACACACAGACAGTGGAAATGGACACAGCGGGGGCCAGAAAAACATTTTCACTAGTTTGTTAGGGTGGTGATAGCCGCATAGTTGGGAGCTATTGCTATGGACACAGAAGCATGAACACCCAGGGTCCGGACCAAAATAGGGAATTGCTAGCCTTAGCCATTCAGTTAACACATATTTATTGATGCCTATTATTTGTCAGATCCTGAGCTAAATGCTAGGAATATAAGGTGATGCAAAAGAGACAGGGTCCCTACCTTGGTGCAATGTATATTCTATTGGGGGAAGGAGACATAAAGTATGGGAAGATATATTTAATTATCTTCGACATAGTTGTGATAACATGCTTATAAGGAGAGAGTCCAGATGTTACGAATGTAGAGGGTTTACCTAACATTTGGAGCAGAGACAGTTTCTTCAAGGAAAGGATATCTGAAATGAGCCTTGAATTTTAGCACAAGAGGAGGAGGGGAGAGCTTCTCTGGTGGAGGAAGAAGCATGTGCAAAGATCCTGAGGCATGAAAAGCCTGGGCTTCCCAGGAAGCAAGCAGAGGTCAGTGTACCTGACGGGGTGGTGGTTAATTAGAAAAAGTGAAGAGAATAGTCAGGAGCCAAACTCTAGTCTTTATCCTGAAGTGAGGCAGGGGGAAGCCACTGGAGGATTTTAAGAAAGGCAGGGATATAATCAGATTGGCTCCAGTAAAAGATCACTTCCTTTAGAGGAGATTAGAGCAGGGCAGAGTGAGTGGAGGGAGACCCAAGAGGGGAAAGGCAGTTGTTCAGGTGAGACGTGATGATGCTCCAGGGGCAGGTGATGGCAGCAGAGGTGGGAGGAAGTGCCTGAGGCACATTTAGGAGATTGGACTGAATTTGGGCAACAAGAGGAGGAATGGGGCCAGGGTGACTTCATGTAGCCTGTGATCCATGGAAAGTTTCCTACTGCTTCAATCTGTTCTACTTCAGCTCAATGTTGGAAGGGTACCCAGAGATGTTGGAGGGGACAGACTTTTCTAGAAGCAACACCCCCACCAACAGCTGTCAGGGACTCCAGCCATGGTCTCTAAAGTCGGGGTCATTCAGATCCACCCAGGGTCCAACATTCAGCCAGTCTATGAGTCTTGGGCTGATTCAGGGCACAGAACCCTGGAAAGTTCAAGATGTTTTCTGCAGAACGCCAGAAAATACTTGTGTCCAATTTTACTGCATGTATTTATAATATACATACATTTATAATGCACATCCCTCAATCAGCAAGTATGGAATGGTAAAGAAAAATTTGTGGGAGAAGAAAATTTTACCAGACGTAATTCCACTAACTTAGTTCACTTATTTCCCACAACCTCTTACCGTCACCCCAGTTGAGAACAGTGTGCAATGTCTGTTCTGGGCCACGATTCTCACCGAGTGCTATCTGTGGTGGGGAAGAGCTTCTGAGGGCAGCTTTACCTGAAGTGGGTTAGACTCACATCATGCGCTCCATGAGCTTATTCACCAGCGTCCCCTCAACACCTAACTCAGTGCTCAGCTGGTTGGAGGAGCTCAGTAAATGTTTGTTGAATGAATGAGTGAGTGACTACTTGCTCAACTGCCAGGTAGGTTGTTCTGTGGATTTTGTAGGTTATAAAGAATAGGCCTGACTCCGCTTCTTTCTCTTTAATGAGGTATAAATGACATATAGCACCACAGTAGTTTCAGGTATACGACACAATGATGGGACACTTGTAGATACTGTGAAATGATCAACCACAATAAGTCTCATTAACATCTGTCACCAGGGGCACCTGGGTGGCTCAGTCGTTAAGCGTTTGCCTTTGGCTCAGGTCATGATCGCAGGGTCCTGAGATCGAACCCCGCATCAGGCTCGCAGCTAGGCGGGAAGCCTGCTTCTCCCTCTCTCACTCCCCCTGTTTGTGTTCCCTCTCTCACTGTGTCTCTCTCTGTCAAAAAAATAAAATCTTTTAAAAAAATAAAAATAACATCCGTCACCATGCATAGTTACAAAATTTGTTTATTGTGATGAGAACATTTTAAGATCTACTCTTAGCAACTTCCAAATATGCAATACAGTATTATTAACTGTAGTCACCAGGTTGTATATCCCATCCCCAGGACTTATTTATGTATAACTAGAAGTTTGTACCTTTTGACCTCCTTCACCCACTCCGGTCCCTGCCCCTGCAACCACCAATGTGTTCTCTGTATCTATGAGCTTGGTTGTTGTTGGTTTTTTTTAGACTCCACATATAAGTGAGATCATGTGATATTTGTCTTCCTCTGTCTGACTTATTTCATTTAGCATAATGGCCTCAAGGCCCATCCATGTTGTTGCAAATGGTAAGATATCCTTTTTTATGGCTGTCTAATATTCCTCTGTGTGTGTGTGTGTGTGTGTGTGTACCACATTTTCTTTATCCTTTCATCCATTGATGAACACTTAGGTTGTTTCCATATCTTGGCTATAATAAATAATGTTGCAGTGAACATGGAGTTGCAGAGATCTTTTCAAATTAGTGTTTTCATTTTCTTCTAATAGCTACCCAGAAGTAGAATTGCTGGATCATATGGTAGTTTTATTTTTAATTTATTGAGGATCCTCCACACTGTTTTCCATACTGGCTGCACCAATTGACATTCCCACTAACAGCATACAAGAGTTCCCCATCTGGTTGGGTCCCTTCATGGGATAACATGGGGGAAGGTCAGATCCGTAGGTAGCCCTCCCTTTGGGAGTCCTAGTTAATCATAAAGTGGATCCTGATCCTCTTTCCTCTTTCTTCCAGCTGGATCCTGAACCTCTTCCGTGAAAGAATTGAAAACAATTTCAAAAATATCTTGGAACAAAAGGTAAACAAAAGGATAAGTAGATTTGTGATTAATACAAGGATCATTGGCATGTACATATTTGATATTTGGAAACAGCCTTGTCTCTTCAGTACACTGTCAATTGAATTTGCTTAGTAAAACTTGCTTCATTCATGGTGCAAAGGCCCACTTCAAGGCTTTCCCAAGTTTGTATGACCACATATGCTAAACTGGCATTTGGAACAGGCAGAGTGTTTGATATTTAGTTGTAGATAATGTTACAGAGTTGCAGAGAAGTGACTTTGGATCCCTCCCTCACACCATACACAAAATCAAGTCCAGGTGGTCTAAGGATTTAAATGCCAAAACAAACCCAAAACTTCTTAGGAGAAAATCTAGGATATCTTTCTCACTTTGAGGAGAGGAAAATATTTCTTAAATAAGACTGACCCCCCCCCCCAAATGCACCATACTGAGAACAATAGTGGGGCTGGCCTCTTACCTCTGGAAAAAGGCTTAGAGGCAAAGAGTGCCTCTTCCATTTACCTGGTGTGTGTCTTTGGGCACACTGATGGGCACACTGATGGAGCCTGATGCGGGGCTCGATCCCAGGACCCTGGGATCATGACCTGAGCCGAAGGCAGACGCTTAACGACTGAGCCACCCAGGCGCCCCAAGTTCCTGTATTTTTTATTAAAAGAATGTGATTTTTAAAAGGCCACTGGATGTTAAATAGTTGGTAAGTGAATAGGTGAGAAAGGTAAAGTCATAGAGATGGTATAGGAATAGCTGAAGTTAGGAAATCACAAGACAGGGGACTTCTGGGATCTCCCAAGCCAGAACTCTTGATGTACAGAAAAGCAGGTTGGTGGCCGGCTGAGGAATGGGATTCTCCTGAGAACTGTTCTTCTGGCTTTGTTTTGGGGCCCTCTGGTGGCCCTAGTCAGTACTGCCTGCAGACCAGGCACCACGCTCCTTAGGATCCCTTATTCCCAGATAGCCAGGAGCCTGAACAGGAAAAGGAGAAGGGGCTGAGGAATGAGGTGATGGGGCCTCTGGTTCAAGACCTGCCTCCTACACCTGGAAACTCTCCTGCTTTGCCCCTAGGCTCTCTAATAAATGTGTTTATGTGCTATACTTCTTGCCCCTTAGCTGCCAAGATATTGAACTGAGGACCACGACAATAGCAGACCCCAGAGCAGTGCCAACTTGGCCACCATTCACCTTTAATGTGGGTTCCAGAAAAGTCTAGGCACTTAAGCTGGGCCCACGTATGTGGCCCAGCCCAAATGGGACAGTGACCAAGCGCTGTGTGTTGACGGAGGGAGTGGCCTCTTCTCCCTTTCGATGTGCTCTTCCACCCCTCACACACCCGCCTACAGGGTGAGGAGCAAGGCCAGGTTTCCTGGAGGGCGGTGGGGGAGGGGCAGGGCCCAGGAGAGAGGGAGAGGGGAACTCACCTGACTTTGTCCCCCACTTTCGGCAGATCTGCGAAATGGTCAGGAAGTCAACCACCTCTCACCTGGAGCCCTATCTCCGGACTCTGCCAGGTTTGGAGGCCCCCTCCTTTCTCTGGGTGCCATCAGATGCCATGACACCTGCTACCCCCAGACCCATCACCACCATCCTCTCAAGAGCCCCAGGAGAACTTCCCCCATAGAGTACCTCTCCATCCTACGGAGCTGGATTTGGGGTGACCACCTCTCTTGGGGGTCTGTTCTGGAGGTACGGGAGTAAAGCGACTGAGCATCGTGACTCAGAAACATGCTGGGAGCTCGAGGTGGACAGAGGATGACAAGCACATGGGAGAAGCACATGTTGGCTCTTTCCTGGCTGCTTTAACAAAACAGGGATGCTCTGAAATCCCTGCGTAAGGCCGGGGATCCTCCCAGCCCTGTCCCTCTGGCTGCCACAGGGACCTTTTACAATCACACATCAGGTCAGGTCTCCCCCTGTTCTTGGAACCCATCGAAGACTCCTCTGACTCTCAGGACACTGAGCCCCGCTTCGAGGGACAAGGCCTTGCATGGTCTGGCAATGTGGCCAGCCACACAGTCCCTATAGGCCTCCAATATTGCTAATTCCTCTAATACACCCTCTATGCTTCTACTATGGTCCTAAGCTACAAGATCTTTACACATGTCATTCTCTCTGCCAAGAATGTCCTTCCCCCACATCCACCACCCTTCACCCAGTCAACACCCACTCCTCCTTCAGATCATCCTTCAGATCACAGCCCAAACAACACTTCCTCTGACTCCCTGTCCGAATCAGGTTGCATTCCCCACCCCCTGTTATATGGTTGACATCATCCTATGGATTTATGCTACCTAATAGAGTTGCTATTTTACATTAATTTGCTCAAGTATTTGATTGTCTTTCCCTTTCCTCCCCATCCCCCACACCCTGGACTGTCAAAGGACAGGGATTCTGACTATCTCACTCAGCTGTTTTATCAGCCCTCTATTCATAACACTTCTCTTCCCTGTTCCACAGTTATCTCAATGATTGATCAGGTTGCCGGCATTGACTACAGTTTAGTCGGTGCTCCCCAAGTGACTTCTCAAGTCCTAGACACACCCTTCAAGGTAAGTTTCTGTGGAGAAAGGACCTAAAAGACTGGCAGAAAATCAGTACTACCTCCCAGAGTTGGCTCCTACCCTCCTTCTCTAATCCATCTGCCCCTAAGTTCCCATCCCAGGCCAGTGTCCACAGCAGCAACAGGAAACTAATATGCCCCCTCTTTATTCCAGTCTCTTCCACAGTTCCCTGGGGACTGAGCAGGTCCGGGAATGCCATCTTCCTCCAATTTTATTTACTTAGCGAACACTTATATGCTTCTTACTATGTGCCAGATGCTGAGTATCTGTACAAACGTTCACTTATATAAATTTTACGCCACCTCTATGAAATAGAAGCCATTAGCATCATCCTCATTCTGCAGATGAAGAGGTTGAGGCACGAGGGAGCTAGGGACCTGCTCAAAGTCCCAGAGCTAGGAAGTGACAGTTAATCTCTAGAGTCCATGCTTTCCACCACCAGGCCACACCCTGAGCCCTGGAGAGCACAACACGTACCTCCCCAGCTGATGCTGTAATGGGGGTTTTCAGGCAGCTGTCAGGGTCTAAATGTTGTGGGACCAGAAGTGGGCCCCAGGCCCACATTCTAGAGAGGAACCACCACCCGGACCACCATGCAGGGCACAGGAGGCTTCCCCAGGCTTCCCCTGGACGCCTCTTCTTGGTACCCTATCTGGTAGGAACCTTGGGTGGGCGATGTGTCCTTCTGTCTCCAGGGTGAATTCTTTGGCCAAAACTGGCACTCCCCAGCCCCCTTCGATGCTCCACCAATCAGGCTGCCCAAGAAACACGACCACATGGTCTACTTTGCTGTCTCTGAATATGTCTTCAACACAGCCAGCCAGGTTTACCACCAGGCTGGGCGCATGAACTTCACCATCCAAAACCACCACGTGAGTAGGGGAGGGAGAAGGCTGCGGGGGGGGGTTGGTGGAATCCCAGGAGAGAGCGTCAGGCCGGACTGTAGACCAAGCTTGGGGGTTTTTCAGGAGTCAGAGAAAGAACGTATAATCTGAAGCCTGACAAATATGGGTTCAAATCCAGGCTGTGCGTGTGGATCCCAACAGTGCCTAGTCCCCAGGGATCGTGTGAGAGATTGTCTGATGAGAGCTTGGTGTCTGATGCATGATGCATATTAGCTATTATTGGCAATACATTAAAAAACTACAACAGGTTCTGCGGTATCATATCAGGTCCTCCAAGCAGCAGATGCCACGGCGGCACTAGACTTGGAAGAGATGGAGTAGGGGAGCACCCACGAAGGATAAAGGGGAGAGGAAGGAGGAGTGGGACGGGAGTCCTGAAACCGTGGAGGAGAGGGAAGGCAAGCACACTGGGTAGAAGAGCCGCCCCGCAGGTCTGAGAAGGCTCCGCTCAGCTGAGGGAGGGCACAGAGCACAGCCTGCTGCTCAGAGGAGCTCCGGAGCAGGCAGAAATTGGACGAGCCCGGCCCAGGCTAAAATCCCGTGCGTGATCTTTCCAGCCTGACCACAGGCAATTGCGAAGCCCTGACCTGGCGGGTCCTCCCGGACTAGACTTGCTGCCAGGCCAGTGCTCAGCTGTGTCTGGAGGGATCTGTGGTCAAGGACTCAAGCCTCCGCCCCATCCCCTCCTCAGGCTGGGGCTGGCGGTGCTCTTAGGCTTATCTGCATGCCAAGCCTAGACACCTCGCTCAGAGGCCTCCTTATGGATGGGGCTTGCTGGGGCCTGGAGGACAGCTTTCTCCAGTCTGACTCGGTACTCAATCCTATTCTACTAGCCCTCCTCCCCCTCCTCCCCCTGAGTCCATAAAACAGCAGGAGCCTTTTCTTTGGGGCTCCTCTGGCAATATGGTGACCACCCCTCCTCCCCTCTGCTGATGCATCTGACGTCACGGGTCCCAGGCCACAGGGGAAACGGAGTAGCGGGGGCCGGTACCCTTTCCTGTTTAGCCTCTTGCTTACACTATCACAATAAGTGAATGAAGGCTTGTGACTTGCAGTTTGGCTCATAGTCTTGATCCTGCCCGTGATCTGACAAAATTCTCCAGTGCTACACCCCGGCTGTGCTCGGTCAGACCCCTTCCTTACACATACACAAAAATTGACTCCAAGAGCGAGGCCCCAGCATGAATGGCTGTCAGCCAACTGCCCTTCTCGCAGGGGACCCCCTGAAGGGAGGTCTGAGCCACGCACCCCCACAGCCAAGCACTATAGGAGCAGCCCAGGTAAAGAGGGGATCTTGAGGGAGGAGAGATCAAGGAAGGTGGGCTGTGTGCAGGTGCAGGCAGGGCTCGCCAAGCTGGGAGGTCAGCAAGTCAGAGGGGCGGGTAGAGAGCAGCACCAGGAAAGAGGGTGAGAAAAGGTTTGGGGGGCAGCCATATCTGGAAGTAGATTCAAAACAGGTTGTGGTGGTTATGAGCTCTCACCGGCTCTTGAGGGGAGTATCCTAAGAAATAATAAATAGCAAAAACTGACAGTAACTAAGTATTTACTGAGATTCCAGGCACTGCGCTTAGCGCTTTACCCATGCACTGTCTCATTCAATCCTTGCCCATGCTGCATGGTGAGTGCTGTGATTATCATCCCCATTTTACAGATGCAGAACCTAACAAAGTTTGCCAACAAGGAGTCAGCTAAAAAATGGCTAGAGTAGGATTTGAACCCAAGCTGTCTGACCTCAAAGTCCACATCTCTAGCTACCATGTCCTGCATCTCAAGTAGCCTCTTGCTTCTACTGCAGATTCCGGGGGACTCTCCAATCCACCTGCACACCAGTTCATTCCGGGCCATTATTCCTCAGGTAAGACCTCTCTGAACACTCATCACAGAGAACTTGACCTAGACCAAATGTGGAGATCGTAGTTGCACATCAGTGAGCTGTGCAGAGACTTTTCTCCTGCCCTCCCCCGAGCCTCTGCCCTCTTTCTCCAGCTGGCCAGGTTGTACCCCAATATGGAGCTAGAGCTTGAGACGTCACCTGCATCAGCTCCATTCCTGACGTTCACCCCTGGGAGTGTGACCTTCACGCCGGTGATAGACATCCAGGTCTTTGCTCTCCTGCCCACCTCCTCTGACCGCAAGCCACTCTTTCAGCTCAGGGTGGTAAGTCTGATCTCTGGGTTACATCTGCCATTGGGTAAGCCCCTCTCTCCACTGAAGGAGAGGGAGACTGATGATGCTGGAGACTACTTCTGCCTGCCCGCAGAGTGAGGGAAACTTGCATTCCTGGCAAGAACAGCCAGGCTTCCCAAGAGCATACTTAATCAAATCATACACTGTCAGAGTTGCAAGAAACCTTAAAAGTCATTCACTCCAGCTAAGTTGGACGATTTTAGCTTATTCACTGTTACATTTGCTATAAAAATGTGTTTAAGCTAAAGCATAACTTCTGAAATTGTTATAAATAAAATCATTAAATTACCTTTTTAAAGAAGGTATAACATGTAAAGAACTCTTATGACAGCAATACACTCCAAACTGACTTACACATTCAACACAATCCCTCTCGAGATTCCAGCTGGTTTTTTTGACAAACCGATCCTAAAATTTATATGTAAATTCAAGGGACCCAGAATAGCCAAAACAATCTTGAAAAAAAAAATGAATTGTAGAACTCATAGTTCCCTGTTTCAAATCTTACTATAAGGCTATAATAATCAAGATAGTGTGGTACTGGTGCAAGGATAGGCATACAGATCAATGGACTAGAATTGAGAACCCAGGAATAAATCGCCATATTTATAGTCAACTGATTTTCAACAAGGGGACCAAGACAATTCAGTGGGGAAGAACAAGCTTTTAAGAAATGGTGCTGGGGCAACTGGATATCCACATGCAAAAGAATGAAACCAGACCCCTTCCTCACACATAAGACAAAAATTGACTCCAAGTGGACCCGAGACCCAGATGTGAGAGCTAAAACCACAAAACTCTCAGAAAAAAACACAGTACTAAATCTTCATGACCTTGGGTTAGGCAAAGCCTTCTTAGATACAACTCAAAAGCATGAACAAAAAAATTAAAAATGGATAAATTGGACGTCACCAAAGTTAAAAACTTCATGCTTCAAAGGACATAATTTAAGAAAGTGAAAAGACAACCCACAGAAGGAGAGAAAATATTTGCAAATCATATATATGAGGAGGGATGTGCATCCAGAATATATAAAGAACTCTTACAACTCAGTCATAGAAAAGACAATCTAATTTCAAAATGGGCAAAACACTTCCTCCTATGGGAAGATTGAGTAGATGTCCATTTCCCTCCCTACTCCTGCTGAGTGCAACCCAAAACCTTAAACATTATGTATAAAATAAACAAGAAAACTCTGAAAGGCAGAGAGAAAAAGGTAGATCAGCCAGGGGCCTCTGAATCTAAGGAATAACATGATGATGAGCTCCCTGGGGTTTCTTTTTGCCTTGCATATTCCAATTTGGGGCAACCCAGAAACACCAACAGGCATGAACAAAAAAGAGCCCCAATAACATCCTCTTCTCTCTAGCCAAAGGACCAAAAAAGGGGCAACCTCGTAAGATAGAAAACTTGTAGACAATCAATAACTGTGCTACTAAAGTGAAACACCAGAGAAAAAGCTATGGCCCTAACCCCACCCAGGCCAGTAAAGCCTGACTGGGGATCCGAGACTTACACTGGCATGAGGCTGTAACAACATGCCCCAACGTCCCGGCTGGGAGTGTCAGTGGAACAGAGAAAAGAACAAATGAATTAAGATACAGAACAAAAGAAATTATCCAATCTGAATGCATAGCCTGAAAAAATGAACAGAGCCTCAGGGACTCGATGGGACCACAGCAAAAGATCTCATCTTCCTGTCCTCAGAGTCTCAGGAGGGGAGAAACTGGGAGTGGCTGGAGAAAAAGTACTCAAAGACATAATGTCTGGAAATTCCCCAAACTCAATCATCTGGTTCAACCCCACCCCTCAACAGGCCAGGCTTCATCCTCACACCCAGTTGTCAATTGGTGGTGTCTTTAAAGTTCCCTAAGGCTCAGGGACTCTCTGTACTTCTCTTCGTAGCATGCTTCAAAGCTCAGTCATGTTTACTGGTGGACAGCCTCCCTATTCGAATGCTCTGTGTCTTCAGCTTGAGCTTATTTGCCCTTCTTGATGCTTCCATTATAACCTCTAAAACCTTAGCTCACCTTTCCTAAAGTTAGCTGTGGAGCGACCAACATCCCACATCCTCAGCCCACAATCCTTGGGTAGCTGCTTTTCACCCACATGTCCCACATCTGGCCGTGGTTTCTATTTCTGAAGATCTGTCTCCTGGACTGGGAGCCAACAAGATTTCTACGTCCCCTGAGAGTCTGGGTTATCCCCTTTTGCTTTTCTAGACAACGAACATCTCCGCCACCATCAATGTGAACTCCGACAGGATTGTTGGTTCAGTGACCACAGGAAGGTAAGAGGCCACGGGCAAGGGGAGGAAATGGGGTAGGTTGGGGATAACCCAGCAGCGACCAGAGCAGCTAGCCTGTTCTCTGATAAGGTTGGCATTGACAGAGATCTCCACTGGGGCTGGCTTATCCTCTAATCTGGGTGCCCCTTTGGAAAGGCATATTGACAATGCCTCAGTGGAGGAGATGAACTTCTGCAAAGGGATTACTGAGGAGCCATAATTTGGTTGGAAGACGTGGGGCTTTGAGAGGACATATAAGATTGAGAAAAACCTGTCAGTACTGCATATCAGAAAGGGAGGAGATTTTAGATGGAGGATTAAAGGTGCCCCACGAGCCACTCCTTGCTGCCCGGACACCCAGTCAGCAGGCACATACTCACTCAACCAGGGAGCCAGTGGGCAGGAGGGATTATACCGCCAGCAGGGGCTGTCTTTCTCTGGGGCCCTCATCTGTGCCCCATGTCTCACTCACTCTGGGTGCTGCCCCCAGCTGAGGAACAGGTGCAGTGGGTGCAGAGGAATTAGAGGAGCTAATTCCTGGCCTCAGGGTTAGATACCTGTTGGCTGAGAGAGTGCACTGACTCCATTAAAATGAACATCTCCTTAAAAGATCTTTAAAAAGAGAAGCTAATGGTGAGCTTGTGGGCATTTTCTGGAGGTCCCAGAATTTGAGTTTATGCCTCAGCCTGGCTTGGGGGGTCTGCAGTATCTGAGAGGACAGTAGAGAGCTTGGACTGTGGAGAGACAGCAAAATGAGGAGGACGTAGGAGGACCTCACAAGGTGGTCTTATCAAGGAATTAGCAAAACTACTCTGCCCCATGAGCAGAGAGCAAAAGATCGGTCCAGGGCAGTTAGAATTCCTGAACAAGGGAGCCAGGCCAGCAGCCAAGAGGATCAGTGGGGGGGATTCAGGTTTGGCTTCCATAGTGACAACACCAGAGGTCCCCTGAGTCACTCCGCCTTCCTTCCCTCTAGCGGGTACCAGCTGTTTGCCAGCATCACTCAGGGGCTCTCCCTCCCATTGTTATTGTCTATTCCCACATTATGCAAATAATGCGTGCTCAAGGCACAGAAATTGCAAAAGTATTTTTTAAAAATCCCTCATAACCCTGCCACATAGAGACTGTCACCACTAATAGTTTCACGTTTCCTTCCAGCCTTTTTTTTATACACTTTTACGTCACTGGACGTACAGAGCACAACTTTTTGCATCCCACTTTTTCCGGTTAATATTTATACCATCCTAATGTATTTCAGTTATTGAAGATGCTCAGCAACCATAAGTTGCAACAATGTCACTTCTTCTTAAATCACTGTGCATGCTGAAAGCCTTAGATGCACAAGCACCCCATTGCAGAGGAACCCTTGGGCGCCCAGCCCCCAGAAATGGCCTTGCCCATAAGCTCTCTACCCCCCACTGGGGTAACTGTGAGGATGCAGCAGGCTTGGGGTGACCCATGCTTCTCTTTCTCCACGCAGTAAGCTGAAATTGGAACTGAAACACTCCAACATCCGTTTCATCAACGTGAGTGCTTTTCTCCCAGCACCTCTTGGGTATCTTCTCCAAACAGGGCTTCAGGGGGCTCCAGGAGAAGCTCCAAGGCCCCCCGAGAAGACTGTGCTGGAGTCTTGCAGAAGTGGACGCCATGTCTGAAAGTTGATCATCTAAGAAGGGCACTGCCTGAGGGCTAACGGGGAGACAGGACATGGACATGAAGAGCATGAGCTTTGAAGGAAGATAGATCTGGGATCTGATACCAGCCATGCCACTTGTTACTGTGTGACCTTGGGAAAATAACTTTTCTGAGCCTCAGTTTCCTTGACTGTAAAATGGGAATACATGATATCTACTTCAACCACTTCCAGTGGGAACTGTAACATGAAACGGGGCAATGGATTTAGGAAGACACTTTGACAAAATTCTTCACACGTAGTAAGCTCTCAGTTTAGGTACTATTGTAATAATAGTGGCCCGGGTGCACAATACCTCACCCAAAGCCCTCAGGGCTGGTGGGCTTCAGAATTAAGAATTTATGAAAGGTAATTTGGAACATGCACCATATGTGATGTAACTCTCCAGCAGGATCTGGGGCAGCACTCTATAATCAGACACATTAATACTTCTGCAACAGAATTTAAAACTATCCACACAAAGTGGAATAAAGAAACACTAAATATGCCCATGGCGATTCAGGTCATATTTTGCCATAAAAGGAGCTTGTACCTACTGATGGAAAATGAAGTCCAGAGATTGGAGTTGAGGAGATTGTGGATAAGGAGCTGTCTACCTGTGGTGGTGACAGTCGCAGTCAACCTGTTTTGTAAGTGGGTTGGCATGTCGGTGTTTCTGGAGGCGGGGGGCCAGCGAGACGTTGTTCCCTCAGACTCCTGTTTTCATGCATGTCTCGTTTGCTCCCTTTACTCTGCCCGCCCCCCACTCCAGGTGGAGCTGATGGAAGCCATCCTCAATTACTACGCGCTCCACACATTATACCCCTCTCTCAACGGTAAGAATAGCTGCTACTGGGGCGCCTGGGCGGCTCCGTCGGTTCAGTGTCTGACTCTCTGTTTTGGCTCAGGTCATGGTCTCGGGGTCCTGGGATCTAGCCCCGCGTCCAGCTCCGCGCTTAGTGCAGGGTCTGCTTGGGATTCTCTCTCTCTCCCTCTCCCTCTGCCCCTCCCCCTGCTTGCGTGCGCTCTCTAAAATAAATAAAATAAAATCTTAAAAAAAAAAAAAGAATAGCTGCTACTGACCACCCCGTGCAAACGTTCAATTCTACCCTTTCTATAGGATTCATGGATCAGTCAGTCAGTCAAGCTGAGCCCCTCTTCTGCCCTGGCTAGGGTCCTGGCAATCCTGCCCTCATAGAGCTTACGCTCTGTTGGGAAGGGAGACATGTAACAGGCAGTGACAACCAGTGTGATAAATGCTGTGACAGGAAGCACAGGGGGCTGCAGGAGCTAGGAGGGGGCACTGAACATGACTCCGAGGTCGGTCCAGACTTCCAGGAGGCGAGGGTCAAGTTGAGTCCAAGCACAGGGAGTTAGGCCAAGGGAGGGGCATTCCAAGCTGCACCTGGAGAACACCTGGAGTTAGTACCCCTGGGTTCTGGTACAGGTTAGGTCACTGATTTGCCAGGTGACCTTGATGGAAATAGTGCTTGGCACGGTGGCTGCCCAAGAACCCGGCTGGCCTCCTCCCATGCCAGGACCTTCTCCGCCCGGCCTCATCATCTGCCTTTTACCACATGAGATAAGAGCAGGGCAGTTGTCCTGGAAAAGACAAAGGGGGGGAGATAGTGGTCCTCGGGATGAGTGTCTGGTCAGAAGCACTGCATGCCCCATCCCAGGCCCCTTTGGCTGGGGGAGACTGGCTGTCCACATCTGTCCCCTCCTGAAGAAGCTGCATTTACCAGGCATTCTCAACTCCATGCCCCCCCCCCAACAGAAAACCAGCCCTGAATCCAATAGCGGATCACATTTCGAAGTAGCCTGCCCTCTCACTGGCCATGAGCATGTGTCCCCAGCCTTCCCCGTCCAGCCCGTGTCTCTCTGCTCTTTATCTTCCAGCAAAGCTTGAGGAGGGCTTCCCTCTCCCTCTGCCCAGGGACACCCACCTCAACAGTTTGGAGCTCCGAGTCCACGAGGTCAGTGAGACATGGGGTCTGGGTGGGGAGCTCTAAGACCTTCTGGGAGGGCTGCTTCGGAGCTGGTAGCATTAGGGGGAGCCCCTGACTCCCACTCACATCCTGGACCTAATGTTCATCGGAAAAAATATTTTTGTTTTGAATCTTGACTTCCACGTAAGCTCGGTTTCCAGTAATTCAGTTCAATCACGTCAACTGAATATCAACAGTGTGCAGGGCCCGTTAGCCATGTGTGGCAGGAAGGGGTCAGATTAGATGCACCACTTCTGGGTTAATGAGCCAGAAGCTCCTGGGTGGTGTGAGAGGGTCCAAGGGGCCACCAGTCAGCCTTACCACCTGCGGCAGCAAGGCCTGGTCCTGGAGCAAAACTGACCAGGCCTTTTAGGGCAAGCAACACATCAGGAGCAGGGACAGGGACAATGACAGTTCACTCTATAACTCCAGAGGTACCAACGTCTTCACTGTCCATAGCATATTCTAGGGTAATCCTGGACTACATCCTCATAAATTAATGATGTGAGGGGAGTAAATTCAGGCAGCACCCAGACGTGCATTGTTCTCCTGGGAGAAACAACTTTTGGAGGAGGACAGTGACATTCATGCGTGTCTTCCAGACATCAGACTATTGGGAAATGCAAATAAATTCCCGGGGTCAGGCAGCTAAGAGGGACAGTGTTTTCTAAAGGCCTCCCAGGCCTGAAGGCAGGGTTTTTGCACTGACCTGCTTTTCGGGTCAAGTGAGAACTTGCCTCTCCCACTGAAGCTTTCTCTTTCAGGAAACTCCTGTCCTCTGCAGCTCAGAAAATGATCTTTCTTGTCTGTCCTTTTTGCCTCCTCTCCAGAACTTCTTGCTCTTGGGGGCCAACCTTGATTAGGCTGAACACTGAGGAAGGAGCAGCGTGGCTAGAGGAGGGGATGACACCACAGCTGGGCCTGCCCCTGCCCCTGGGGGGGTCCGGAGGTTGCGGTCACTCTGCCTCCACTCCCATGAGGACCTCCTCCACGTGGACACTCATCACCGGGGATCCTGGGATACCCGAACACACGCCTGACCGTGGGACGCCTTCCCCACCTTTCTCCTCCTCCTTCCTGTGCCCTTTCCTGTCCCCTTCACAGCTGTCCTTAGCCTTACTCTGGGCAGCCTCTAGAATAAACTTCAGTGAGCCGTGTCCAGTCACCACAGAGCTCAAAGCACCCTGCTCAGCATTAAACATGAGCTTAGTCGTACGTGTCCTTTGTTGTGGTTACAGGAGCAGAAGTGAGACAACGTGCGCTTAAAGCCTTGTGTTGCCATGTCCTTGGTGCATAATATTTATCGAGATGGGAGCAGAGACCACCCAGCCGCTATATGAGTTCCACATTTATTCAACAAACCTCGATCTCAATTTGCTAGTTGATTGTTCGGCACTGGCTTCTGTCTCTGGGCTTGGTGCTGCAGGAGGAGGGGGTCAAAGAGAAGAAAACACATGGTCTCTGCCTTCACCGAGCTTACGGCCAAAAACGGGGGCCGGAAGACTTTTTCTATAAAGGGCCAGAGAGCAGATCTTTTAGGTTTTTACCACACATCTAGTCTCCGTCGGGAATACCCCTCATGGCCGCTGTAGCAGAGAACAGCCAGCCAGTGAGCAAGTGGGCATGGCTGTGTCCCAATAAAACTTGGTTTGCAAAAACAGGCAGCAGGCCAGATCCAAGCCACGGGCCACGCTGTGCCCACCGGTGGTCTAGAAGAACAAATAGGGGGCGCCTGGGTGGCTCAGTCGTTAAGCGTCTGCCTTCGGCTCAGGTCATGATCCCAGGGTCCTGGGATCGAGTCCCACATCGGGCTCCCTGCTCTGCAGGAAGCCTGCTTCTCCCTCTCCCACTCCCCCCCTTGTGTTCCTGCTCTCGCTATGTCTCTCTCTGTCAGAAAAATAAATAAAATCTTTAAAAATAAATAAATAAATAAATAAATAGAAGAACAAATAGGATTTATGCCGTGAATACAAGCCTGGTTTTCAATTAGGAGATGTGCTAACCTATCCTACCTGGTCACAAGAGTAATAAAGAGCACAAGCTGGAGGCAAGTCTGGCCTGCTTTCAAATCATGGCTCCCTCTCCTTGGCTCTCTGCGATTTATGAAATCTTTCTGAACCCCCGGAATCTTCAGTTTTAATATAGCACAAGCAGTGGCCAAGGACCATGCCACCCGGAGCCCCCTGCTCAACCTTAAACGTGTCGAATGACTTCGTTGTACTTGTCATTTGACGTCATGACATGGGGAAGACGGGAGGTTGAAATAAATTATTTGGAAAGTGCTCAGGGCGAGTCTTGGCCCATGCTGCGCCAGGTCAATAAACTAGCGCTGTCATCCTCATCCACTCCTCATTATTAAAGACCCCTTCATATACTAGGAGTAGGATGACAGATTATCAAATTTAAAAAAATCTGTCTTGCACCATCAACCAAAATCATACCTATGATGAGATCACAGAGGTGTTGCGTTTTTTATCTTGGAAGGCCCAGGAAATGAGCCAGGAATGTCTGATGACCTTGGCCAGACTTGGCCAGGAAAACCCAAGGTGTCTAAAAGTGAAGACGCGAGACGGTCAGCCGGGACGGTGGAAGAGAATGAACCGAAGTGAAACATTATCCTGGAATGCTCAGTTAATTATCAGAGTTATGATTTTCCCTGTAGATTATTCTATCTCCTCTGTTGCCCTAATCATCAGCTGTTGGAGAGCAACTAGCAATTGTCCATCCTCCTCCTCTGCCCCTTCCTTCTCTGTTTCTGCAACCTCACACCCATTCTCCTTCCTCCGGGAGAGCACGGTGCCAGGCTCACCCCTGAGGCATGCCCGCTCCCATCTTCCCCTGCGGGTGTGCAGGGTTGCCACAGACAGTCACGCAGGCTGTGCACTGTACAGCTCTTGGGAGCACCATTCACATCGTGGTCTGCAGCCGAGATGCAGAGATGGTGAGACATGCCATAGGAAAGGCTTGATTTAAGCCAAGGTTCCTCAACCTCAGCATGATGGACATTTTAGGCCAGATAATTCTTTGCTGTGAGGGGCCATCCTTTTACATTGTAGGATATTTAGCAGCTCCCAGGCCTCTACCCACTAGATAGTGGCACACCCTCCCCCACAGTGGTGCCCACCAAAAACGTGTCCAGACATTGCCAAAAGCCCCCTGCGGTGGGTAAAAGAGCGCCGTGTTAAGGACCGCTGACAAAGGAAAGATGTTCTCCCAGCATATCCTACTCTGGTGAGGGCCCTATGTTAGCCCATCCTGGGGGAAGACAGAAAGTTCCAACCTTGCCCCAAAGGGGCTGGTCTCACTAATAAAGCCACCGGAGAGTATCTTAAGGGCAAAGCCCTTGTGGATTTTTTCTAGCCCCAAGATGTACTCTAAGTAGAAGATAGCTGAACTTGCTGAGAGCCAAACGTGTGCCAGGCTAAACAGAAATCTAGGTTTTACAAGAAGTGTGGGGACTCTCCAAGAAGCACGGCCCTGGACCACAATGTTTGTGCCACCGAAGCATGAAAGCTCCAAAGACACCTGGAGATTTTCTAATTGTCAAAGCTTTATTCATAAACTTGACCTTTTTCATTAAAAAAAAAAAAAAAGCTGTCTGCCTTGACTGGGGAGAACCCTTTCTGTTACAGAGATGCCCCAACAGTTGTTGGGATATTGGCCAAAGACAGCATCTAGATGTAAAGCCTCGTTGCTTCAATACCCCCTATGAATATCAGGTATGCATCTTACGCCACAAAACTAGGGTGGGAAAAGGTCTCATTACTTTATGTTGGCTAAATTAAGTATAATCTCCTCTGTGCCCTCATTTATTGAACTATTAGGAAATTCTTCCCCCATTGTTGCTGGATGTCCTTATTCCCTCAGAGACACATAAAGGTCCTGGGGTATTCCCTAGTCCCAAACATTGGGGAGCCCCACTGGTGTCCAGCCTAGTCTTCTGTGCTGATAAATTCCCTGTCCAGTGAGCCTGCACTGTCCCCTGAAGACAGGAAATCCTGTCTTTCTAAGCCAGGCTTGGGGATAAAGTTTTGTGCCCAAGATCATTTCCTCTGGCTCCTCCATCAGAAGTCTGTCACCATCTTTCCTCTCTCACAGAGAAGGCAGCTTTGTGAGGGGTCTGGTCATTGTCTTGTGAAGAAGCTGCAACATACCCCCTTCCAAGATGGTGGATGACTTTTCCGATCTGACCATTTCTGCCTCCCTTGACTCTGACTTTCAACCCCAATCCTTCTGGGACAATTCAGCAAGAGTCCTCCTGGATGCCTGTAGGTCCCCATCTTCTTTCTCCACCTTCATTCCTGTGGGACATTTCTGAAGCTGGAAGAACAGCTTGGCCTATCTCTGGGGCTCCCTTGTCTGAGCATGTGTTAGCCCGGGAAAGCCCATTCAGGATTTCCCTACCTGGCCATTGGAATGCTTGGGTAATTTTCAGCTGAAATCTGTGACCAAAAATTGACATTCATTTGTATTTTAAGAGCTCATCATGTCACCCTGATCACTGGATGCCTCAGTTTGCTGGCATTTCTTCCTTTTTTTTTTTTTTTTTAACATTTTATTTATTTATTTGACAGCGAGAGAGGGAACACAAGCAGGGGGAGTGGGAGAGGAAGAAGCAGGCTTCCTGCCAAGCAGGAAGGGGCTTGATGTGGGGCTCGATGTGGGGCTCGATGTGGGGCTCGATCCTAGGACCCTGGGATCATGACCTGAGCCGAAGGCAGACGCTTACTGACTGAGCCACCCAGGCGCCCCTGGCATTTCTTCCTAAAGAACCCTGTCGGGTCTCATGAAAGCTCTGCCCCTGGCAATGGTGGGCACAGCCTGTATTCAGGGGGTGTTAGTATTAGGGAGGCCTCCCAATGGTGGGTGCCGAGCTGCCTCCCTCATCTAGTTCTTATGAACAATAATGCTGACATTTTCATCTCTGTCTGCCTAGCTCCCGCTTCTTACCGGGTGTGTGACTCAGAGTAATTAAAGGGAGTGACAATATTATCACCCTTAAAGGACAATGGGGAACAGACTTTCCAGTCAGGTGGGGAATGCCTTTATGCCACAGCTCAAGCTGAGACCCTGTAGGGGCTTCGATCTTATAATCTTTATAGCAGTACCAATCATAAAGACCATGTTTTAGCTAAAATTGTAATTTTTAGATCCTTAACTTTTGTAAAGCCTCAAATGTTAATTTGAGTTCATGGACAAATATTTCTGGGTACAGGACACTTTTCTAAGTTTAAAAAGTTTTAAACTTTGGTCACTAAACCTACCTGTAATTTATTCCTTATTCATTTAAAATAGTTATAAATTAACCAGATGGGTGATGTGTTTAAATATAAAAAGATAACATTAAATGTAAACTAATGGCGAAAAAGAGCTAGATAGTTCTTGTTTCCTGTCTTCTAGTTTTCTGGAGTCTAGAGAAAACAAAAAGTGTTTACTTTGCTAATAATGGTAATTAACAAAAATAACTTAAGACACTATCAGGCATAATTACAGGGAGATGCAAGTATGTGTACAAGATAACACATGTAGTTTGTTTAAGGGAATTATTACAGTTTATTATGATGATGAATTCATTAGGATAGGTGCACTGTTAGATGTAGTATGTTCGTAAGATTAATTATATTTTGAAAATAAGATTCATTTTCTGAAGTCTCTAACTAATAAAAATAATAAAAAGGTTATACTGTAAATGTACAAATTTTAGTAACAATTTTTTGACTTGGGTTATACTACCTGCAGTGTTCCTAAAAAAAACCAAAAACCTGTATTAAAAATTTTTGACAAAGTTGGCTCAGTGAATTCATCCATAAGAAAGGTTTATAAATGCTTTACTGAGCACTGTCACATGGTTGACACATAAAAAAATAAAATTAGAATTTAGGGGTTTTATGGTAAAATGATGTTATTTTGTGCCAGATACTTTTTTAATTCCAGTATAACTGATGTAGTGTTATATTAGTTTCACGTGTACAATATATGGACTCAGCAATTCTATATATAACTCAGTGCTCATCATGGGAGTGTACTCTTAATCCCCTTCACCTATTTCACCCATCCCTCCCCCCACCTGTCCTCTGGCAAACACCAGTTTGTTCTCTTTATTTAAAAGTCTTTTTTTGTCTCTTTTGCTGGCTTTGTTTCTTAAATTCCACATGAAATTATTCATATGGTATTTTTCTTTCTCTAATGGACTTAGTTCACTTAGCACTATACCCTCTAGATCCATCCATGTTGTTGCAAATGGCAAGATTTAAGTTTTTTGGTTTTGTTTTGTTTTGTTTTGAAGATTTTATTTATTATTTACACACAGAGAGAGAACACAAGCAGGGGGGAGCGGCAGGCAGAGGGAGAGGGAGAAGCAGGCTCTCCGCTGAGCAGGGAGCCCGATGTGGGGCTCGATCCCAGGACCCTGGAATCATGACCTGAGCCGAAGGCAGACTCTTAACCGACTGAGCCATCCAGGCGTCCCAAGATTTCAGTTTTTTATGGCTGAGTACAATTCCATTGTGTGTGGGTGTACATATATACACCACATCTTCTTTATCCATTCATCTGTCAATGGACACTTGGGTTGCTTCCATATCTTGGCTATTGTAAGTAATGCTACAGTAAACATAGGGGTGCCTGTATCTTTTCAAATTACTGTTTTCTTTTTATTTGGGTAAATATCCTGTAGTGGAATTACTGGATCATGTGGTAGTTCTAACTTTTTTTGAAACATCCATACTGCTTTCCACAGTGGTTGTACCAATTTACATTCCCAGGAACAGTGCACAGGGGTTTCTTTTTCTTCATGTCTACGAAACTTACTTTTTGATACTAGTCGTTCTGACTTATATGAGGTGATATCTCACTGTGGCTTTGATTTGCAGTTCCCTGATGATGAGTGATGTTGAGCATTTTTCATGTCTCTGTTGGTCATCTGTATGTTATGTCTGGTATACTCTTAATTCATCCTAACAAAAGTTCCTTATTTCTAAAAAAAAAAAGTTAAGTTTCTAATAGCTATCTACTTTTTGCTGTGGTTTTCAAAATACTGTCTTGCAGTAACTTTTTCTTACATTTGAAAAGTGTGATGTGTCCATATTTTGTCCTCTGACAATTCTTGCCCAAATTCAGAATAAAATGGTTAAAATGTCTTTTAGTCCTAAACTACCTTTGAGTTTCCTTGAATGGCCACCAGGTTACACAAAGATTTGTTCCTTCACCTTAGAAAGGATAAAAGCTATTAGATTTTTTCTCTATGTTCTAATCAACTCAAAACTTGTGAGAGCCCTTTGTTTATCAAATTTAGGATAAAAAACCACAAAACTGACAAAAGAAGTTCCATCTTCCTGAGTTAATTATGTATTGACTATATTAATATAAAAAATTTGAATTTTATACTTTTCAGATTAAAAGAAACATACTACTGTCCAAGCAAAGACTGGTACAAGAACTGTCTATGGAGTGATTTTAAGCTTTCAACATCCTTGTCTATCAGTGACAATCACAGTACTTTAGGATTTAAGCCTACAGATACTAGTTGACCAACATCTTCACAGTTCATATGTTCTTAGTCCAAGGTAATCCTTCACTACATCCTCGGAAATTGTTATTCCTCAAAAGAGGCTTTCACTCTCTTCCACTCTGATTGCTACATTCGTTGGAGCTATTCAGTCTTACCACCTTAGTAGAGGTAAGTAAATGTCTATGATCTTCAACGTTGGTGGGAAAATTTTTAAAGCCTCACCAATGTTTCTCATGCCATGACCTGTCTACAGCTGAATTCTGACAAAATTGTAGACAGTCTGAAACCAAAGCCTCATGGAGCCCGCACACCCCTCCAAATGGACTGTACTCAATTGTCCCCAATGAGATATGTGTTTGGATTGTTACATATTCATTCATTCAAGGACAGATCCAAGATTTCTTGTCAGAAAATCACAGCTTTGATAGTCACCAAAAGTTCATGTTGCAACAGGCGAATAAATTGGACTCTGTTGAACTGTCTCCTGCGGGCTTTATCAGACTACTCAAGTTTTCCATCACTCCTTAAGGCAATTTTGTTTTCTAGAAATATATGCATTTTATCAAAGTATAAACTTTTAGACAAAAAGTAATCTATCTTATTCGCTAACTTTGGCTTGCTTCTGCTCTTTTATTCTCATTATTTCTATTTTCTCTTTGTTACTTATTAAATTTGTCTTCTTCCTATTTTAAGCACGAGGCATAAATTTCTTAGGATTTGAGCTACATCCCACAAACTTTGGTATGTAGAAATTTTTATTATCATTCAGTTGTTAATATTTCTAATTCCCCTTATGGGATCATCTTTGATGAGGTATTTTAAAATGTTTTAAATTTTCCAAACATAGGGATTTTTTCAAACCTATTTTTTGTCTGTTATTGTCTATATATTGTAGTACAAAGGTAGTCTGTATGACTCTGATTCTTCAGTATTTGCTACTTGTTTTATAACCCAGAACATGAATAGCATTCATATATACTCTTTATATGCTTGAGAAAAGCATATATCCTATATCCTCTAGTTTGGAGATGTTTCTAAGTATCTCCTAATTATATTATATGTAAATCTTTTGCTGTAAAAGGGAACTATTTTTGCTTCCTCACAAACTTCAGCATTAGGGGCTACGCCCTGAAAGCCCCCAAAACCAAAGAGAACTATGAGCAATCTTGGTATGGTGCAGAGGAACCTTCAATAAATAGTAATAACTATCAATTACTGAACATTCTGAAGGGACACATTACACAGACTTTTTTTTTTTTTTTTAAGATTTTATTTACTTATTCATGAGAGACAGAGAAAAAGAGAGGCAGAGGGAGAAGCAGGCTCCCAAGGAGCAGGGAGCCCGATGCGGGACTCAATCCCAGGACCCTGGGACAATGACCTGAGCCGAAGGCAGACGCTTAACCATCTGAGCCACCCAGGCGCCCTACACAGACTTTTTCATACAACAGTCTGTTTAATCCCTACCTTACCATATTCCTGTAAAGCTGTGGTTCTCGTTTTGTAAGAGGAAACCAAGGTCAGGTAGTACAAACTTGCCTTATGTCACCCAAGAGGGTCAAACCCCAGGTCTGTGGGACTCCAAAGCCAGTGATCCACACCCCTGCAGGCTGCTGCCCCAGGTTTATCCACCAACACTCAGAACCACCCTGATCAGCAGGGACATGGCACCAATCCTCTTTGGACTCAAGTAACGGCTTTTCCGTAAAGGTGTCCAGCAACACTCTTCAATCATGTTTTTAAACTTGAACTCCTAACCTTCTAGACCAGTGCTGTCTGACGTCAAACAAAATTCAGCCAGGTGCATCTGAGGATCTAGTTGGCTTTATTAAACAATTCATGCATCAGGCAGCATCCCATCTAACAAGCAGAGGGGAGCACCAAGAGATTGAACAGAAAGGTTTCTAGGGAAGGAAGGTGGGGCAAGAAAGTTATTTGCAAAAAAATTGTTCCAGGCAAGGCTTTCCCTTAGGGGGAACAGGAGGGGCTTCTAATCAGGTAGATTACTCCCATCCTCCTTTGGGGATGGAGAGGGCCCCTGTGGTAGACTCCTTGGCACCCATCAGAGAACTTGTGACTGACCAGGTAAGACTACATTTCCGGGGGAGGTTGAAACTGCAATTAGATTAGGTATTACGCCCGGGTTTGGGGACTTGGCCTCAGTGATGCCACTTTGGGGCCCATGGGTTTTCTTTTTAACACCACACTTCTTGTGGTGACAGAAACAGTCTTTGATACCTGCACTACCCAACACGGCAGCCACTTGGGGCTACCAAGCACTTGAACTACGGCTTGTGCAAGTGAAGATGGGACCTTTACACTTTACGTTACCATAATGGACTGCCGTTCTAAAGAAGCTGAGGCCTCCTGTGTTTTGTTTGGAGTGGTACCCCCAACACCTACAGCAGTGCCCAATACAAATGCATGTTCCACAGACATTCAGCATATAAACACATTATTATCTACAGACATTTCAGGAATACCTGAAGTGCACAAACCATGCTATTTCCCATCGTACCCCTACTTCTAAGCATGGTGCCTGGCTCATGAATAAACGCTTTTCTTTTAATGGACGGACCTTCACTCTGACCAGCTCTCCATTACTTCTAGCTCTCAATTCTGCTATGGAAATCTCCCACTCCCTGCTCCACCAGGCCCTCCAGGAAGCTTGCACATCTCCCAGCAAGGATCATAGCTTCATGACCTTAAGCCTGGTTCCCAGGTCACGTTGGCTGGAATGCTCTTCTCAGATTTCCTCAGGCCCTCAACACTTGACATGGCTCATGCTTCCCATGTCTCATGCGAGGCGGGCATGACCTGGTGCCCCGTGGGACACACCAAGTGTCTCCATGCACACTTTTTAAGTACTGGCCCACATTCTGCTGTTCCTCCATGGCAGCACACATTCCCAACCAGGCACAGCTTTATCAAGTGGAGCCAGATCCTTCCCTTGGCGTTTTTTCATGCAGCCACAACCAGCTGACTAAAGGCTGCTAAAAAAAAGTCAAGACAGTCCGCAGGGAAGGCCAAAAAATAAAAAAAAAGACTTCTGGATGCCTGTGTCAGGAACTGGCTGGCAGAGTGAACACTTCAGCCATGAAGAACACCTGCCTGCCCCCGAAAAGGAGCCCATCAAGGTGTCAAACTCATCAAGGCAAGTTCAAGTGCAGAAATTGGACAATTAACTCCAGCCTTTCATCACAGCCTTTGGGACCTATTTCCTCATGAAGACCCATCCATCTATAACATGGGAATTAAAAAGTTCACACATGCACACCCTTAGACCATCATCACATTACTGCAATTATTGACTTACCACAATTATCTCCAAAAGCCTGACCTCGAGGATAGCCACAAGGTCCATCAACAGCAGTTGCTCCACCTTCACCCTGCTGCCTCCCACCTTTACTCAGTAGCCTGTCCTCAGACTGACATCATGTATTTGACTCCCGAGGTAAGTTGACCAACTAGTTCCAGTTTGCCCAGGACCTTTCTGGATTTAACAATGAAAGTCCCATGTCCTGGGAAACCCCTCAATCCCAGGCAAACTAGGTCGGCTGGCCACAAAAGCAGGCATTTACTCAGGAGCCAGGCCCCAGAACTCGGGCCAACCCAGCTTCCTCAGTGACATCGGTGCCTGCCTCACCCCAGCCCGCTGTCACCAGCCACCCTTCCAAAGCCCTGGCCTGACTGTTCCTCGAACCTTCGATTCGTTCATGGGCCCTGAATCTGAGCCAGCTACTGTCCCAGTCCTAATGCAACACCTCAGACTGCAGCCTGTGTGCCAAGCCCCAGGAACATGACAGGAGAGGCTCAGGGGGTGAAAACAAGACTGGCCTGTGATCCACTTCTCCACACCCAGCCTCGGTGGCACAAGGCTTGTTATGGACTTAAAAGGCAGGCACAGCGAGTCTGTAAGGTTTATTGAATGGTGGGCAGAGAGTAAAGTGATGAGCAGCTGCAATACAAGAGAAAAAGTCTTGGTCATTAAGGTCATTTCAGGCATAGCAGAGGAACATGGGGCTGGCCTTCTCTGTCCATGGCTTCTCAGGGCACTGTTGTCAAGCCTCAGCCAGCTGACGTGGACCCCACCCAGCCCCGGCCCCAGCACTTTCCCTCTGATCTCCTATGTGGAGTGAAGAGTTGATCCATGATGCTCTGAGTCACAGCAGGAGTGCTCTGGGGATGCGTTCTGCAGGGACTCCCTCGCCATCCTCTGTTCTTCTGCTGTCCCCTAACACCAAGAGAATCTAAAAAAGAAAGGACAGGTGAGACCAATGGTTTGGAGTTCCCACCCACAGAGATGCAAACCAGCTTACCCCCTGCCTGTGGGTCCCCAGCGCTTGGCAGTAACTCACCTTGGGGAGACATATCAGCAAACCCAGATGCCAAGTCATCCCGAGGGTCCCTGAACTCATGGCCTTGGGACTTACTTCAACAGCTCCAGATCTAAGGCTGACCTACGAGGGAGAAGCAGCATACAAGCATTCAGTCTCCGTTGCCTCCTTCCCCCATGACATCACTGAGAGGGTCCCCATCAACTAGGCCTAAGTGCCCAGTTTATGCATGCCATACTATGTTATCACCAGAATAAAAAAGAATAAAGGAAAAACACCTTAAAAGTCATTTTTATAATAAATCGCTTTCTTTCGAGCAGTTCACAATCAGGACAACTGACTACATACAGCAATCCACGGAAAGACAGCTTACGGCTCAGTCGGGGGCTCGACCCTGAGGTCCCACTGCATCATGAGCAAAGGGACGGACCACCATCCTCAGCAGCTCTCCCCGACATTGTCATGCCGTTGTCTGCCCAGCCTGTCACAAGGCCCCAGCACCTGCCATCCTGTTCTGCAAAGACCCACTTAATATGACCCAGCCAAGAAAGGCAAATGCAAGATGAACTTCCAACGAGACCTGTTCTGGTTAGGTGCCCAGACCTGTGAAAATCAGCACTGCCAGACCCCTTCGAAGGAGAAATGAGAAAACATCATGAATGCTTGAGGACATTGTGCAAGAGAACCCCAACTCATCCCTAGGACTCTACACCCAGAGGTTCGAATTACCAGGTCTGGAGTGGGGCATGGGGTGATTTTTTTTCAGAATGTTCACCATTGTCCCTTAAATCCTCCAGGATGGCTGAGGAGCCTGACCAGGAACTAGGCTGTGGAACAGGACAGGCCCCTGATGCAAAGGGGGCGGAGAGCAGGTATGAAAGACAAGGGCACTCTCTGGGTTCTTCGACGGCTCCTGGGCACCAGGTGGTTCACGTATGTTATTCTCACTACCACCACCTCATCACTGAGATGGGAACAAAACCACCTGGCACAACAGGATCCCATCTGCAAACACGAGACCCAAATGTAAAGGGAAGGGGTCTTGGGAACTAGAAAGGAGCCCCCAATCAAAAGTAGGGGGGTCAAAGGGATGGACACCTTGACCTCACCTCCAACCTCACTGCCCTTGTTACCTGGGAGCCAAGACATTCCTCTCGGGGGCACCACGCTGTCTCTCTCAGGGGCACCAGCCTGTCTCTCTCAGGAGCACCAGGCTGTGGTGCCCCAGCACCTGCCATCCTGCATACAGCAATGCAGGATGACAACCCCGAGTGCCCAGTCAGCAACAATATCCTCACAGACGTGAACCAGAAAGGAGGCTAGGAAGTCTGCAGTCTATAGTCTATGAATACAGACCTCAAAGATCCACAGGCCTGAGAAATTCTTCTTCAGTCAACCCCTGGGGTCACCCTTTTCAAAAGAACCCACAAAAAACAGATGAAGTCAACAAAAGGGGAGCTACAGACAGGGTGATCAGCCAACAACACACTCTCCTCCCATCAGTGACTGACGAGAAAACTCCCCCGGCTTCTGGCAGACCATGACAAATGAGAACTTTTTTATTGACTCAGAATTGACAGAACTCCCCCACGCCCCTATAGCAGGCCCCACCTGTACTTTTCTTTCTCCATTTATTTAACATCACTGACAGCTCCTGGAGAAGCAATCCACACTGTGCTCAAGAAAGAGTAAAGGAGCAAAGACAACACACGCACGAGCAGTGAATTAGCATGCCGTCCTGACTGATGTGCTCTTCCAGGCTAGCCTCCACTCCCATAAACTCATAAAGTAGAACCCAGGATTTGCGATTCTCACGTGTGCCCTCAAGCACTATTATGAACTTAGTCCAGGGTGAGGGCCACATAGAAATGTATAGACTGATTTCTGACAAGAGGATCTGTAACATGAGAAGACAGAATGAGCCCCCAGAGGTCAGGGGGCTAGCCCAGTCACTGCATCCCAGGAGGCCCAAGCTCTGAGGGGAACGGCAGAAAGCTAGTGTGGGAAAGTTCCAGGGCTTGGAAGGGGATGGCTGGCTGGACCCTTCAAACACAGGAACTTTTTTCAGTGATTCCTCTCCCTACACTATCAATGACCAGGGCAAAGACAGCAGGCAGTCACTTCTGGGTGCAGGAGCAGAAAAGTGCAGAAAGAGGGGCGCCTGGGTGGCTCAGTCGTTAAGCATCTGCCTTCGGCTCAGGTCCTGATCCCAGGGTCCTGGGATCGAGCCCCGCATCGGGCTCCCTGCTCAGCGGGAAGCCTGCTTCTCCCTCTCCCACTCCCCCTGCTTGTGTTCCCTCTCCCGCTGTGTCTCTCTCCGTCGGGTTAATAAATAAAATCTTTAAAAAAAAGAAAAGTGCAGAAAGAGAGCCAGGAAGGATGGGAGGCTGGTGTCAGGGGCCTGGGGAATGGCCTGAGTGAATGAGAGCGGCCCAGCCAAACACAGAGCCCCAGCAGCTTCTGCTGTACCCTGCGGAGACCCTGTAACACCTCCCTGCCACAGAAGAGTCAAGATGCTTCCAGCATAAAAAATGGGAAATGCTGGTGTGCCTGGGTGGCACAGACAGTTAGGCGACCGATTCTTGGGTTTCAGCTCAGGTCGTGACCTCGTGGGTCGCAGGATTGTGCCCTGCGTTGGGTTCTACGCTGAGTGCAGAGTCTGTTGGAGTTTCTCTCTCCCTCTCCCTCTGCTCCTCCCCCTGCTCGCTCTCTCTGAAATAAATAAGTCTTTAAAAAAAAAAATCAGAAATGCTTTTGGGTTAGAAAAGATCAGTATCCTATGGTTACAACACGACCATGAGAAATTTTCTAAAACCCTTCACAGCTACCCAGCTATGTTTTTCAGATGAAGTGGAGATTGAGAAGAGGTCCCAAAGCTAGGTAATTCGGAGGCCAGACCAGGATCTCTGGTGCCTAAACCTACATGCTCCCCCTCAGAGCACGCTGCTGACACTAGGAAGGGAGCTGCCCTGGGGAGCCCTCCACCTACCTGAGCAGCTTTCTAGAGGCCCGTCCCCTCACGGTACGTGAGGCATTGCCCACAGCAAGGACCCAACTGCAAGCTCACAGGATGCCCACTGTCTTACTTCCTCATCCAAACCCCAGGGCACACGTACGTGACTTTACAGATGCACAAAACAAACTTCCAGAGAAAGGTCCGAACACCTTACCTCGGGCCCCACGGCCTACCGCGGGCTGGTAAGATGACACCTCCCATGGAGCCTCTGCACATGCAGACCCACCTGCAAGACACAGCGCACAAGTGAGCACTCACAGCAGGCCCTGGTGCGCACAGTGGCCGGCAGATTACAGCGCCCACAAATGTGGCCTGTTGCTACTCGTATCCACTAATACCACACGACTGTCTCAGGGACAAGAACAACTTAACTCTAGAAAGGGGTCTGCGGATCACCTGTGACAGGAGTAGCATCAGTGCTAACCTATGGGCCAGAGATCAATCTGCTGCTAAGCAGTCTGTGTCAAAAGGTTGTCAAGGCCAGGTTTTGGGGAGCGTGCCATGCTGACTGGCAGCGATGAGCATGGAGCAGGAGGGGTAACAGGTAGTGGGAGGGCCCCATGTCCTCCATCTAGTGTGTAAGGGCAGCTTACGTATGTATCAACTATGACGTGTGCTGCCCAGCTGGATCACTACTCCATTCCCTGCCCCTCAATCTAAGGGCTGAGGAACATCACCCCCTGTGGACCATGGGCCCAGCCCATGGCCAGGACGAGAGAGAACCAACGCTTCCGGGGAGAGGAGGATGCCTCAGCCTTGAGCAGGCTGGCTGGCTCAAGGGCACTGTCTTCCCACGGACACGCCACAATGGGATGAGCCCACTGCCTCACCACATGGCACCTGTCTCCTACATCTTGTTTTGTCCAAGAGCGACATGTCAGGCAGCAGGACAGAGGCACTGCCTCAAGATCACAGCAAAGGGGGCGTGACAAGCAAATCACCAATGTCCAGTGTGACCAGGGCTGAGAGGTGGGGCTGAGGGTGTGGGAAGAGGTGCGATAGGGAGGCAGAGAAAGCTTCCTGGGGGAGCCCTGGGAGAAGAGGGACCCCTATCATGGCTCTACCACTGGCCTATGAACAGAAACACCCTGAGGTAGCGCCCTGCTCAGCAAAAAAGGCATTGAGTGAGCCACAAAGTGCCAGATCCGAGGAAGTAACACAAATTAGTGGGAAGAAAGATGTGTTCGAAAGCTCCAGAGTTTGGAAGGGACAGGATGGGCCCTTCTAACACGGGGAAGCGCTTTCAACAACTCTTCTCCCTGCACTATCAATGACCAGGGCACGGGCAGCCCACGATCACTTTCGAATGCAGGTGCAAAAAAGAGCGGCGAGTGGGCCGAGAAGGGAAGCCTTGTTGGGCAGCAGCCTGGGAACCGGCCTGACCCCGGAGCCTTGGCACACAGGCCCATGACCAGACTGACAGCCCGAGATCACAGAAGCTGCCCCTCACTTGCACGGACGATTTACCACTCCCACCCAGGAGATGAAGTGAAGACTGATGGTGCAGAAATACTGAGGATTCGTGGTTCTGGCAGATGGGGTGTGAGTGGTCATACAATGAGCACTCAGCTGGGCACTGGATATGAATCTGTTTGCCTCTAAAATGCAGCCGTCTGACCATCCGATACTGCCACTTTCCACGTCACAGGAGCCTTCCTCAGGGGCTCTCAGGAGCAGAAGAGGGCCCAGGCCTGTGCCCGCCGGCTCAAGGGGACACAGACAGCCGGGAACACCGGGAAGCAGCCTTCACCTGCACTCATTCCCACACCTCATCACCTGAACGCGTCCAGCCTCACAGCCCACACAGACTTAAGCTCTCGAGAACCAGGCAGGACACCACTTACCTGGGACCTCCTGATCAGGTTCTCCCTGAGGTCGCGTCTCACATCCATGGAACAGCAGTCACAAGACACTCCTGCAGGGGACAAGAAGCACTTGGCACTGCTTTACGTGTCCAGGAAACCGCTGTGCTCACCAACAGGAAAACACTGATGGCATCTGGGTCTTGGGAGGTGAATGCACTGACAGCCTGCCTCCCTCCATCTACCTCATGTTCCGTCACCTAAGGCTGTCCCATTCTGGAACCCCTGAACATAAAGAAAGCCTTATAACTTTTCCTTTGCTTGCATTACCAATGACCAGGACATGAGCAGCCTGTACTCCCCTCAAACACAGGGGCAGAAAGGGACACAGCACTGCTGAAATTAGAGACCAGTGTCAGAAGACCACAGCTGTGGCTGCACAACTCAGACATGCAATGAGGCAGGACCCACCCTCATGCTCCCTGTGAGGCTTTTTAAAGCCTCACAAAAACAGAAACCATCCTGAGCCAGGCACAGAGAGCACACAAGACAGACAGGTGCCCAGAGGCATCTACAAGATGGTGAGGAGGAGGAAGTGTGGGAAAGCTCCAGAGTCTGGAAGGGACAGGAAGGGACCCTCCAAACACGGGGAATCGCTTTCAGCAACTCCTCTCCCTGCACTATCAATGACCAGGACACAGACAGACCATGATCACTTTCGAATGCAGGTGCAGAAAAGGCAGGTGAGCCTGGAAGAAAAGCCCCTATTAGCCCCCAGCTGCCCCGCCAAGCCCAGGACCCAGAGCATCATCACCACTTCAGGTAAAGATTCCATCTCCCATCATCAAAGGGAAGACTAACTCCGGGCAAAAACACCGACATTGTTTATTCACCCCACACATACAGCCTGAGCACCTACTACGTGTCAGGCACCCTGGGCTCAAAAACAAAGGACACACCCAAGACCTCTGTCCTCCCAGAGCTCTGGCAGTTTCCCCACTTAAAAGTGAAGCTCCGGACAAGGAAGGAACGGAGCCAAGGTTATGCGGCTGCCCAGGGGTGGGCTGAACCGGGATCTGAACCCAGACCTCTCTGACCCCAAACCCACCCACCTACCACGCCAGACGCCCTTCTGCACAAGGGCTTTGCAAGAAGGGTCTCAGAACCTGAGCTCCAGGATCCCCCCCCCCGCCCCCACCGCGCTGTGGCAGGAAGGCAACGAGCCCCCTGGTCGAGCTGCTCACGCGCAGCACCACTTACCCAGCAGGCCTCACCCCTGCACACAGGGGCGGCATCAGGCGCTGCGGATCAGGGCCCTGCAGGGCAGACAGGGGTGCTGCCTGCGGCACGGCCCGCAAAGCCGTCCAAGGGACAGTCCCCATCTGCTCCCAAGAGAGCCGCGGAGCCCGCACGGCCTGGGCACGGGAGAGAACCGGGAGGGGCTTTGGTGCCAAGCTGCCCCTCTGCGGCCCCGCGAGCGCCCCCCCCGCCCCCGAAAGCTCAGACAACCGCTCTGCACCCCCGGGGCTTTCACACTCTCCGGTAAGGACAGGTGACGCCAGGACGGGTTCACGCTCCTCAGGTCACTCCGCAGGCAACCGATGAACGGCTCTGGGGGACTCAAGGCCCGGAGCCGGGGGCGGGTGAGTGCGTGAAAATCGCGGGGTCCGGGGCGCCCCTCGGGCCCGGGAACACACGCGGCTGCGCGGCCCGCGCGTCGCCGGACCCGCTGCTGGTCGTTAGCGCGACCCGAGTGTTCCCCGCGGGCGGGCTGAGGGCGGGGAATCGGACCCGGGGCCCCTTTCTCGAGCACCCGCCTCCCGAGAGAGCCGCACCCGGCGGAGGGGCCGGACACGGAGCCAGGAGCCGGGCCCGGAATCCGCGCTGACCTCCGCCGGCTCTCCCCGTCCTCCCCGTCCTCCCCCGGGCCTCAGTTTCTCCTGAAGGTGGTGGGGCCGCAGACGACGCGCCCAGCGATCCCCGCAGTGGACTCACCCCGGGCACCGCGACTACGACGCAGGACAGCGGCGCTGACAGAGCCGACAGCGCGGGAAGATGCGGATGTCTGGGGGTTGCGGGAGACGGACCCGGGCGGCGTGCGACGCTGCCGGAAAACGGGGCGGCGGCAGCAGCGACGGCAGCAGGAAACGCCTGACCCGCCCAGCGCCCGCGGAAATGCAGCTGAGCGCGCTCTGCGGCCTAGAGCGGCAACTCGCGGGGCGGATCCCGTGCAAGCGATCCTGCCGCGCCCCCTGGTGGCGCGGAGCTCAAATTCCGACTCCGTAGGGCTTGAGATCCTTTCCAAGAGCGGCCTGGAATTTTGGAAATAACATTCCCTCACTTATTTTGCTTTTCTCTTTATTCTGTTTTTGCCATGGTTTGTCATTAATTTATAGGAATGGTTACTCTTCCACGTGAGGAGCTGTTATTAGCAAGAGCTCATGCTGATTGCAGGTTGTGGACAATAGGGTTCTTGCCTGATTGACCACTGCATTCATAGTACCTAGTTTAGTGGCTGGCACAATTGAACAAATGAATGAATTCTGACCATATATTTGGACATCGCCGGTTAAAATATTGTTCTGATGACCTGAAAGTGGAACGTGAGAGTGACAAGGAGATAAACCTAGAGGGGGGGCAGGTGCTTTGCTCAACTTTGTCCCAAAAATGAGTCCTTGAAGCAGGAAGGACTTGACCAGATTTGCAGAGCAGTAAAGACGACAGATAGAAGCCTCGTGCTCCGGACAGGACACTGCAGACAGGCTTCAGAAGGGGCTCGTGGTTCCCAAACCTCACAGGCACTAACACTGCCTGTACCCTGGGTCATGTGTATCCCTTGAACCTAAGGCAACCCTGCCACTAACTCAGCCCACATTCTGAAGTATAAACAGCCCACCCTTGTGCCCGAGGAGGAGGGTCCCCCCAGACAGATTCCTGGAACTGACTAGGTCAGCACAGAGTGGAAATCCAGGCCTGACCTATGCAACCAAGGTGAACACACTCCATATTGTGTACCTGGGAGAAGTCTGTGGGATTCCAAGACTGTGGGAACGTTGGGGAACTCTGTGATAGGTAGGGACCATGGATGCTGTAGCTATGAGGACACTGGACCAAAGGGTCAGGTGCGCACACTTGAGCGCACCTGTTCTTGCCTGTCTCCTGTTCTTGCTCTTATGCTCCGTGTGACCTTGACTAAATGACCTAACTCCTCAGCCCAGCTTGAGTTTTCCTTTTCTGAAAAATGGACAAAATCATAGCTTTCTCCTCAGAGCATTGCTTCGAGAATTATGTGAAATGATACATATCAAAAGCAAAGCACAGAGCAAATGGCCAAGCGTGGTAGTTGCTATACTCTAGTATTTCTGAGAAAGCCAAGGGCTTCTGTCACTGAAAGGACACTGTGGGATTATTTATAAGGCTGAGAGAATGTGCTATGTTGGGAAAGTCTAAGGCAGCACTGTCAGTAGAAATATAATGCTAGCCACATATGGAATTTAAAATGTTCTGGGGTCCCTGGGTGGCTCAGTCAGTTGAATGTCTGCCTTCAGCTCAAGTCATCATCCTAGGGTCCTGGGATCACCCCGCTTCGGGTTCCCTGCTCAGCAGGGAGTCTGCTTCTCCCTCTGCCCCTCCAGCCCTGCTCTCTCGCTCTGAAATAAATAAATTAAATCTTTAAAAATAAATAAAAATAGAATGTTCTAAGAGTCACATTAAAAAGGCACAAAAAAGGGTGAAATTTTAATACTATATTTTATTTAACCCAATATAACCAAAATATTGTCATTTCAGCATTTTTTAATATCTTTAAATTATTAACGAGATATTTGCTATCTGTTTTCTCTGACAAAGTCTTTAGAATCTGGCGCATGTTCAACACTGACATTTGGACCAGCGACATTTCCAGTGCTCCATTAGCCACCATGGCCGCTGGCTGCTGTGTTCATCAGCGCAGGTCTAAAGCCATCTGGCTTTGATCAGCTCTTGCAAGCCAGAGGAGAGAAGCAGCAAGCAGGAGGCTGAGAGCATGGCCCTTCCACAGCGCCCAGCATCCCATGAGCCTGGGACATCCTAGGAGGAGCAGGGCCTCCTGCACGGCTCAGGCTGGGGGCCTTATTGTCCGAAGCTGGAGATTAAGGCAAGGGTGCCCTAAGAAGATTAAAAAAAAGGGCAGTGCCACGATTCAATCCTAGATTATTCTCCTGCATCCCTTGCTCCTATGATGCCAGGGAGGGGATCTGGGGCTGTTTATTTGTACATCCCCAGTGCCTAGAGGAGGCTGGGTGTGGCTGATGCTTGTTAATCGTTAGTGTAACCGGATGTTAAAATGGACATTTCATCAAGGCACCAAGGAGGCCCCACGATATAGGAATGAACTGCTGAGCAACAACAAACTGCTGTTGTGGTAAGCAAACTGTGGCCCAATACTGGCAATTTGTGAAGGTTCCACCTGATAAAATGGAAGCTGCCTTCCAAAGAAGGTGTTGGACCGGACGCAGAATTTAGGAAGGAAATAACTGAACAATGCTCGTGACTCCGAATTCTCTAAGTTGAGGGTATTAGCAGTACAGTTAGACATTAAAAAGAAAGAGAATTATGAATTCTATTTCTTAAGATAGTCCCGCCCCCTGCTCCAAAGAGGGAGAACTAGAGGAGTACCTGAGTATCAGGGGTTCCGGCAGAACCACGTGGAAGCTTGATCCATGTTACCAGGAGTTAGAGAGCACAGGGGAGCCAGGCCTTACCCAGGGTTCATCGTTTTCTTCAGCAGGTGTAGCATCTGTGGCAGTGAGGCAGGTAGAATAGGGAAATGTTGGGCAGCGGCCGGAGGTTTCTTCCGGAAACAAGCAACAGGGACGAAACTGACCTCACACCTGTTCAATAACAGGACGCTCGGGGCGGTTAGAAGCCTGAGATACCACCACGATGCGCAACTGCGGCACGCATGCGCAAAAGCCCCAGTTAGCCTGCAGTTGACGGAGAACGACCCCTCCACTGGGGGCGCTAGAGGACTCCTCCTCGTAGATCGTGTCTACCGCTTGTCCGCAAGAGAAAAATCAGACTGCGCCTGCGCATAGTGACTGGTCTCGAGCATGCGTAATGATACATGGGGTGCTTGGAACTATTTCTAGAACCCTACAGAAATATTCCACCCCTTGATTATAACTGCCTGTGAGAATCAGAATCCCAATTTGAGAAACATGGCGGAGGGTCATAGGGGAAGAGAGGAAAAAATGAAATAAGACAAAACTAGAGAGGGAGACAAATCATAAGAGACTCTTAATCTCAGGAAACAAACAGGGTTGCTGGGAGTGGAGGGGGGTGGGAGTGATGGGGTGGCTGGGTGATGGACATCGGGGACTGTATGTGTCGTGGTGAGCGCTGTGTATTGTGTAAGACTGATGAATCTCAGACCTGTACCCCTGAAACAAATAATACATTATATGTTAATTTAAAAATTAATTAATTTAAAGAGAATCAGAATCCCACATCTATCCAGCACCACTCAGATTCTAAGAGTGTGTACTTTTGCTTTGCAATAAAGCTTCTCTGCTATATTTTACTCTGATTATCCTTGAATTCTTTGTCGTGGTGAAGTCAAGAACCTGGCACCAGCTGGTGGTTGAGGGCTCAGGACCCAAGAACACCCCCAGTCTCCAGTATCAGTAGGAACGTCCATGTGCTACCCAAGAGTTCCTGCCCAAGAGGGAGCCTGCTAAGGTGAGGGAATCCCCAGGAAGGGCCTGGCCTATTCATATCCCTAGGAGGACAAGGGGTGGATTCTCCAAAGAACCCCTACAATAGAGGCCAAGAGAGAAAGACCTACATTAAATATGTGCCCAACGTGGAGAGACGTCTCCCCTCCACCTTAATCTTAATTTCATCTGTTCTGATCCTTGAGATACTGGGGGTAAGAGAGTGGGCAGAGTCTTCCTGGCAAAGAGAAATACGTTTGGATAAGGGAGAAGTCTCCTGTCCCCTCTCAGCAGATAGCAGCCCACCCTATGCTTGGCCCTGGATGCTGAGAGAAGTCTCACCTATAATTATTGAAATTTATATATTAGACTGACCATTATCAAATGGAAACAGTGTTTGCAATTTTAGTGATTAAAGACTTATTACCTAAGAATGATCAGAGAGCTTTGAGGCCTGCCTGATATTTTTCTAAGGATAGGGAAAAGATACTTCCATTTAGAAAGTCTAAAGTGGCAGGCAAAAAAATTGTATGATTACCTACCAGGAGTCCTGCTTTCAACATACTGGTCACATTAATAAAGATTTGGGCTATAGCTGGGAGGCCAACATTCCACCATCCTGGAGTTTGTGACCTCACAGTGGCTGAGAGATCCCTGTGGTGTAGAGCACCTTCCCCTGGGGAGATGGAGCTGTGGCTTGCTGGACAGATTTTTCCAAGGAGGTGGTGCCCAGGGTCCAAGCTGGAAGTCCAGAACCAACCTTGTGCGACCTGCAAGAGCTCCAGGCCCTGTCCCTGCATTAAGAATGGTCACCATGCTGGAAACCTTGCTATATCTGTTCATCATCCTCATCTGCTTCTTGCTGCTCATCTGTTACTACTTCTTCCGGAAGGAATAGGCTCCAGCTCCTGCATGGTGGGACTGAGGCCTGATGGAAGCCAGGGCCGGTCTAGCCCCTCAGGGCCTCTCAAGCACGACAGACTCTTCCTAAGCTGCCCATGGCCTGGGTCTTGGCCTGTTTTGGGGTCTCCAACAGCCCAGGGTCCCCACTGGATGCTTCCCACCAGGGTCAGCTTCCACCTAGGTCTCTGTACCTCCTTCTCCCTAGGTCCCCTAGCTGGGTCCTCTGACCCTCACACCCTCTCTCGTACTAGTTTTGCTTCTGGTTCATTTTTGTGCTGGGTTGTGGACCACTGGTTCTGGAGAGGGACTCAGTGTGGGCTCAGAGAAGGTATGAATGACTCAGGCCTCTGCCATGGGGGCAGGCATGAGAAGCAGTGGCCCTCTCCCTCCAGAAACTAGCAAGGCTGGGCCTTCACGAACTAGAGTCCTAGCTAAAGATTGATAGCCTTAGTAGGGACACTGGACTTTCCTTCCATCCATGGTGGACAATCTTTGAAAACAACTGTCTTGACTACTCAATCTGGATGGTTGCAGCTAATTAACTTGGATCTCCCTGAAAAACAACCCTGGACCCTCCTTGCTAACTAAATCACTGAGATATATGTGGCTCATTACTTAAACTTTCTTGGCTTAACTTTTTTGCTTGAATACTTGGGCATTCCAGGATAATATTTAGCTTTGCCCCATTATCTTTTGCCATGGTAACTGACCACATCAATTCTTCACTCTTTTTTTTAAAAATTAATTAATTTATTTATTTGAGAGAGAGAGAGAGAGAGAGAAACAGCATGAGAGGGGATAGGGTCAGAGGGAGAAGCAAGCTCCCCGCTGAGCCGGGAGCCCAATGCGGGACTCGATCCCAGGACTCCGGGATCATGACCCGAGCCGAAGGCAGTCGCTCAACCAACTGAGCCACCCAGGTGCCCCAATTCTTCACTCTTAAGACCTTGGGCCTTCCTGGCCAATGGCATTGGACATCCCTCCCCACCCCCCCCACCCCCCCCACCCCGCTATTTCTCTGGGACTTTCAGGATGAAAACAGAAGAATGCTTCTATGATTCCACCATTATGGATAATATTGGCAGATGGTTTACATTATATATTCTACTTCTAGAATTCTAAGAATTTTTAAAAGTTATGAATGGATATTAATTTTTATCAAGTGATGATGATGATTATGACGATGATTCTAAAATTTATTGAACTGCCTTACTATAACCCAACACCTATTTTTTAAAAAGCACTTATGGTACTGAGTTTCATATCTTGTATTATTTTACCTACTTTTAAATTTTTTAATTGTGGTAAAATACGCATAACATGAAAGTTATCATCTTAACCATTTTTATATATATTCAGCTCAGTAGTGTTCAGTACATTCACACTGTTGTGCAACCAATCTCGGAATTTTTATCTTGCAAAACTGAAACTGTACCCTTGAGACAATAATTCCCCGTTCTTGGCTTCCCCAGCCCCTGACAGCCACCATTCTCCCTTCTGTCTCTGAATTTGACTACTCTAGGTGCCTCATATTAGTGGAATCATACAGTATTTGTCCTTTTGTGTCTGGCTTATTTCACTTAACAGCATGTCCTCAAGGTTCCTCCATGCTGTGGCACATGTCAGAATTTCCTTCCTTCTTAAGGCTAAATAATATTCCACTGGGGTGTGTGTGTGTGTGTATCACATTTTTTTTTATCCGTTCATCTGTTGTTAGATACTTGAGTTGCTCCCACCTTTGGCTATCGTGAATAGTGCTGCTATGAACACAGGTAGACAAATATCCCTTTAAGATCACATTCCTAATTGTTTCAAGAATATACCCTTGGGGCGCCTGGGTGGCTCAGTTGGTTAAGCGACTGCCTTCGGCTCAGGTCGTGATCGTGGAGTCCCGGGATCGAGTCCCGCATCGGGCTCCCTGCTCGGCAGGGAGTCTGCTTCTCCCTCTGACCCTCCCCCCTCTCATGTGCTTGCTCTCTCTCATTCTCTCTCTCTCAAATAAATAAATAAAATCTTAAAAAAAAAAAAAAAAGAATATACCCTTAAGTGGAATTGCTGAATCATATGGTAATTTTATTTTTCATTTTTTGGGGCAATTGCTATACTATACTATTTTCCATAGCAGCTGCACCAATTTGCATATTTTATCTATTTTAAAGTTTAAAAACTGAGATTCAGAAAGATGAAGTCACTTGCTAATACAGCTAGAATATGGTAGAGAAAAGTTTTAAGAATGTCTGTTGTATTAGTTTCCTAAGGCTGCCATAACAAAGTACCACAAACTGGGTGGTTTACAATGGCGGAAATTTATTCTGTCACTATTCTGGAGTCTGGAAGTCTGAAATCAAAGGTCAGAAGACATTTACAAGACAGGAGTGCAGTTACTGCCCTTTAAGGGCACTGGGGGCCAAGGCTGCTTCCACCTGAAGTTGCCGATATTTTTTTTTTTTTTTTGCTGATATATTTTAAAAGATGTTTACATCTACATTCATCAGATGGACTGTAATTTACTTTCCTTCCATTGACCTTGCCTAATGTGGGGATCATGGGTTACTCTGTGAACTGAGAACATCTCCCTCTTCTTCTATTATCTGGGAGACTGCGTAGGGCTGAAAACCTGGGTACGATGTTTTCTTTGTGGAAATATTGTTAACTACTGACTCAACACTTTAAAGTGTTCTAAGATGATTCAGGTTTTCTATTTTTCCTTAAGCGATTTTGCCATATATTTCTCTAATTTTTTACTCTCTGCTCTGACTGTCCTCTGACCCCTCTCTCATTCCTGAAAGTGCCTCTGCTGCCGTAAATGTGGTTATGCTCATTTTCTGCCATCTTACTTTTTGCTTTTGTAATTTCATTGATTTACTCTACTGGGATCAGTTCAATTGTCATTTTCTCTCATTTTTTTAAGTCCTCCAGTGCCAAGAGCTGACTGGGACACATGGAATTTTTCTTACATTTTAGAATTAGGTGAGTTCTCTTTCATAGCAATAATGAGGATTTCTCTTCTCCTGTATCAACATTTGAAGCTCATCTATTGCCATGCAGTGAGATGTTGAGATATGACCCCATCCAGCTCCTAAGTGCTTCCCATACTCATTTCCCCACCTCTCCCCCCACTGCAGTTTCTGAGTCTTCCTCTTCCTCCCTTTCCCTGAATGTCTTCCTGTTCCCCCCTTTCTACGTGAGCCCTTCAAAACCCTGCCAAGGCACACCACCTCCAAGAAGCCACCTCTTGGAAATTGATAGAAGGCTGACTTCATTCATGTTTCCACAGCTAGCCTCCAAGCTGCTTTAAGATCCATGCTTCCTCACACTCACCATGAAAAATCAAGGAGGAAAGTATCATTTTCCCAGTATCGGTCCCACATCCAACTTTTTGTCAGAGAAGGGCAGGACACTGTAACTGACATTCCCAACAAGACTGAATTCAACAGGAAGAGTGCCACAAGGAAATCAGGGAGAAAGAATGAATAGGTCCAAACTCTGGATGTCCTAGCCATTTATATACCCAGATTCACATGAAAATAGGCAGTTTGTTGGTCCTAGTTTTTCTGAGAATGCTTCTAAATGTGGGAATTGTTGGTTGGTGATGGTCTGTATCACATGAGCAAAACATCTGTTTAATCCAAGAATGCCAAAATACACTTTCCTGACCAAGAATAGAAATTAAATATTACTCCAAAAGAAATTAAATATTACCGGGCGCCTGGGTGGCTCAGATGGTTAAGCGTCTGCCTTAGGCTCAGGTCATGGTCCCGGAGTCCTGGGATCGAGTCCCGCATCGGGCTCCCCACTCTGCGGGAAGTCTGCTTCTCCCTCTGCCTCTCTCTCTCTCTCTCATGAATAAATAAATAAAATCTTAAAAAAAAAGAAATTAAATATTACCAAACACATTTTCAAGCACCTACTAAATTGCTCCGAGATTGATTTCTGGGTTTGAATTTTGACTCTGATACCTACTGTTAGAAGAAGCAATCTGCCATGGACCCTGAGCATCTACGCACATTCTTGCAGGATATGCTAAGAATGCAAGGTCTTGACTCCTCTTTACCTGGGCCCTTTCTTAGAGCTGTGTTTTGCAGTGAGAAACCTTGAAGGATAAGAAAAGCCTCCTCCCAGACTAAAATCAGGCTTACTTCTGTTGGCTGTAAGTGGTAAATCCCCCCGAGCTCAGTGGCCCTACCCTGTAACGTTGTAACACATTATGTGTGCAGACAGCCGTCATGGGCCCAGCACCACCCCATGGGACCTGTGAAGAATGGGAACCAACATGAATGAACACAAAGCTCTCTCTGCTTTGCCACAGTAATGAGGTCCTAAGACTGACTCAGGAATTTTGTGTCGTCTGCCAGCATCCACGAAACAAGAGGCTAACTGTTTAGCTCGCAAGTAGGATTCACTCTCAGATCATGCACAGTTCTTAACACATATGAACTGCATGATCTTGGACACATTAAATAAACTTTCTGAGCTTTTGTTTCCTCATCAGCAAAATGGATAATAATAGTGTTTACCTTATAGGATGGATATGATGATTAAATAAATCAAAATCCTGGAATATAACGTGTGCTCAAAACTTAGTGATGATTTAACATTATAGTAGTAGGGTCCTCTGTAGCGTTGATGGGATAGGGCATTGGAGTGACAGATACCATGCTATGAAAAACACTGTTGGGGACGCCTGGGTGGGTCAGCTGGTTGGGCGTCTGCCTTCGGTTGGGGTCATGATCCCAAGGTCCTGGGATCGAGTCCCACTTCCAGCTCCTTGCTCAGTGGGGATCCTGCTTCTCCCTCTGCTGGCTGCAACCCCTGCTCGTGCTCTCTCTCTCTCTCTCTGACAAATAAATAAATAATTTTTTTTTTTAGAAAAATACTGTTAATCCCCCAGGCAGGCCCTTGCTGTCCACCCTGGCTAAGTACATTTCCACTATTATACCACCCTGCCCATTTCCTTTGTAGCACTTTTAATGATTTTTTAAAACTCTTTTTTAAACAGTTTTAAAGGCAGACGCTTAACCAGCTAAGCCACCCAGACGTCCTGACTTGTTATGATTTTTAATTATTGCATTCGCTGACTCATTATTCCTACGAGAATATTATAACAACAAAAAAATCAGGAAACCTGTCTGTCTTCAATATATTTCCAATGCTTAGCCCAGTCCCTGATACGAGGTTGCTGCTCTGTAGATTTTTCTGGGGGGATGGGAGTCCAGATGAACATATAAATGTATGAATGGATGGGTGTGTGGGTGAGTGGGTGGATGAATGGATGAGAAAGCTGGTGCTCCCTAAATATTTTCCGGATAAATAGATGGATGGATGGAATGATGGGAAGATAAAGGGATGCCTGGATACTTGGCCGCTCAGATTTTCACCTCCTATCCACGAGGGGGCGCAAAGAGACCGCGCGCGCGGGCTCAGCCCGGGAGACGCCGCTCTAGGCCGCAGCCCGCGCCCCAGGTGCATTTCCGCCGGCGCTGGGCGGAGGGGGGAGGGGGTTTCCTGCGGCTACGGCCGCTTTCCCGAGCGGTCCCGAGCCGTTCCGAACCGTCCCGAACCGTGCCGCAACCTTCTCGCGTCGTTCCGTCTGACCCCGCCAACGACAGTACCCGCGCCCCGGGTGAGTCACTGCGGGGCCGCGCTGCACAGGGACCCCCGGCGGCCTCCAAGGCCGGTGCTGCATCCCCCCTCCCCGACAGGAGGAGAAACTGAGGCCCGAGGGGGCGGGGAGAGCCGGCGGAGGTCAGCGCGGATTCCGGGCCCGGCTCCTGGCTCCGTGTCCGGCCCCTCCGCCGGGTGCGGCTCTCTCGGGAGGCGGGTGCTCGAGAAAGGGGCCCCGGGTCCGATTCCCCGCCCTCAGCCCGCCCGCGGGGAACACTCGGGTCGCGCTAACGACCAGCAGCGGGTCCGGCGACGCGCGGGCCGCGCAGCCGCGTGTGTTCCCGGGCCCGAGGGGCGCCCCGGACCCCGCGATTTTCACGCACTCACCCGCCCCCGGCTCCGGGCCTTGAGTCCCCCAGAGCCGTTCATCGGTTGCCTGCGGAGTGACCTGAGGAGCGTGAACCCGTCCTGGCGTCACCTGTCCTTACCGGAGAGTGTGAAAGCCCCGGGGGTGCAGAGCGGTTGTCTGAGCTTTCGGGGGCGGGGGGGGCGCTCGCGGGGCCGCAGAGGGGCAGCTTGGCACCAAAGCCCCTCCCGGTTCTCTCCCGTGCCCAGGCCGTGCGGGCTCCGCGGCTCTCTTGGGAGCAGATGGGGACTGTCCCTTGGACGGCTTTGCGGGCCGTGCCGCAGGCAGCACCCCTGTCTGCCCTGCAGGGCCCTGATCCGCAGCGCCTGATGCCGCCCCTGTGTGCAGGGGTGAGGCCTGCTGGGTAAGTGGTGCTGCGCGTGAGCAGCTCGACCAGGGGGCTCGTTGCCTTCCTGCCACAGCGCGGTGGGGGCGGGGGGCGGGGGGGGGGGGAGATCCTGGAGCTCAGGTTCTGAGACCCTTCTTGCAAAGCCCTTGTGCAGAAGGGCGTCTGGCGTGGTAGGTGGGTGGGTTTGGAGTCAGAGAGGTCTGGGTTCAGATCCCGGTTCAGCCCACCCCTGGGCAGCCGCATAACCTTGGCTCCGTTCCTTCCTTGTCCGGAGCTTCACTTTTAAGTGGGGAAACTGCCAGAGCTCTGGGAGGACAGAGGTCTTGGGTGTGTCCTTTGTTTTTGAGCCCAGGGTGCCTGACACGTAGTAGGTGCTCAGGCTGTATGTGTGGGGTGAATAAACAATGTCGGTGTTTTTGCCCGGAGTTAGTCTTCCCTTTGATGATGGGAGATGGAATCTTTACGTGAAGTGGTGATGATGCTCTGGGTCCTGGGCTTGGCGGGGCAGCTTTCCCCTGCCTGGGAAGGTAGCAGGCTGCTAACATGGGGTGCCCGTGTCCAGGTCATTGATGGCGCAGGGAAAGGATTTGCTGAAAGTGTTTCCCCATGTTTGGAGGATCCCTTCCTGTCCCTTCCAAACCTGGAGCATTCCCGCACTTCCTCCTTTTTACCACCTTTTTGATGTCTCCTGTCACCTGGTGCCAATGTCGTGCTCATGGGTAGTACAGGCAAAGGATTCAGAGAAGAGTTGTCCTGTAATTGGAGAGTCCACATCCACACCTTCCAGGAGTTTTCCCACATTCCATCTTCTCCGCAGACACGTTGGGCCTCGGAGGCAGTGGTCTGTGCATTAGTGTCCCTGTTGGGCTCTGACTTCCTATCCGTGCTGTTGGGAGCCAGGCTGTGTGTGTTACTTGAGTTTTCCTCGATGTCCAGCGGAGTTGTTGCCGGGCAGCCGTGGCACACTCCCGTGAATCTGGCCTTGGCATCCTTTTCAGCCTATCCCTGGTTAATGATGCATTCATCAGCATTGGCCACCCTGTCATAGACCACGCACTGTCTCCCTCTTTAGAGTTAACTACTGTCCTTTTTACGAGGAAATAGTGGGTCTGTGGAGGAAATAGTAACAGCCAGCATTTGTCGAATGCTTACTTTACTCTCTGGCAGCTACTGTGCTAGGCCCTTTCCTGATGCCTACCATGCCTTGCTGTGAGCAGGGACAAGTTGGTGCCCATTCTTGGGTTTTGGTCTGTTGCAGATGAGCCCACCATGTGCAGAGCCATCATGGGAGTTGTATCAGGAATATTCTAGACCCCAGTGTCCTTGAGGTAAGATTTCTTGTCTTTTCTCTGGAGTGTTGGTTCCTTGCATCTGGTATAGTCAAGTGTGGGTTCCTAGCGGCTTCGTATGAAGGCATAGGGGAGCTGAGAGGTGAGAAGGTAATGTCCGTGAGTCCCCAGCTCTGTCCCCTCAATCCCAGGCAACCTAGATCATATCTGGCCCTTGATATGTCCTCAGTGCCTGCTGCAGAGGAAGAGTCTCTAGAGTCCCACTGGGTAATGAGAGCTGTCTGGGGTGCCTGCCTTCCATCCTTGGAGTGACGGCAGAAGCATGTTGTAACTGGAAATGAGACCCACACATCAGAGACTCCTGTCCCTGGCTTTGAATCCCCTTGTGCTGCTCTCTCAGTGACCTATTCAGAACCTTATTTTCTTCATTTAAGAAACAAACTTATGATAGAGGTGATTTCTGTGCTGCTTAAGACCGCAGGATTCCTGTCATTTCCAGCCCTACGATTTTCACAGCGTTTTTGCCCAAAGTGTCTTCTCTTTGATTCCCCTTGGCAGGGAGGTTCTATGGGGCTTTTGCAAGAATGGCCACTCCTGAGGTCCTGTGCTTGGCTGGGTGGTTTCCCCAGATTCAGTCTATTCCAAAGGCTAGTGGTGCCTGCGTCTCTTCCTAGGTCTCTCTCTGCCCTTCATGCCCCTGCATTCAAAAGCGATCATGGGCTGCCTGTGCTCTGGTCATTGATAATGCAGGGAGAGAAATTGTTGAAAGCGGCTTCCCGTATTTGGAGGGTCCACACCTGTCCCTTCCAAATGCTGACGCTTTCACACACTCCTGCTCCTCTCCAGCTAGTGCTCTCTGGTCTCAGGCATTGAGTGCTGCTGTGTGAGAGTCAATGACGGGACTCTGTAGTTTGGCCTTTCTCAGCTTGGCCTCCTGTTGTGGGAAACCGGGCTATGTTTGTGTCCAAGTTTAGGTACTTTATAGGGTTTAAAGAGCCAGGATGAATTCTGCATAAGGATTCTGTGTGATATGAGTGGTTTATACTGATTGCCATAAGGTTTTCAAAGGAAAGCAGCTTTTTGGATTTGGTGGCCCAAATGTGATGTGATGGGAAATGTGCATTGGGTGGTGGTGGGCGGAGCAGCATGAAGAAGAGTTTGACGCTGGGGTGAGCACAAGTACCTGGGAGACAGAGTGCAGGGATGTAACGACAATGGAGAGAGGCTGAAATGGTGGCCTTCACTCCCAATTGGGGAGATGTGCGAATGGGGCTCAGTGGGAGGAGCCTCTGAGCTTTAGCTCTCCAGCCATCTGTCTACCAATTACTATATCTGTTCTTGCCCTGAAAACACCCATTTTTTAAGGCTGTGTTTATTTTGACTCTTCTCTGTGAGCATTGGGATTCATTTTTGAGCTGTGTTTGGGGTGAAAAAAACCTGGCAGCTCATGCCTGATTAATTGGGGCTTTCTCATTGATAACAGCTTGGAGAAAGATGAGATCACGTTGGAACCGAGACACTTGTGACCACCTGCTCTCTGGCATCCTCCTCACTCTAGGAGAGCTGCCTTGGATCTGGAGATTGCTGGAGGAAGCCTGAGGGGATGGAGGCACTGGCCCTCTCAGGATGACCCGGGTCTCAGCTGCCCTGGAGAGAACTCCTCATGGTGAGTTAATGCCAAGGGGCCAAGTCAGCCTGTGTTTCTGATATGGAAATTCCAGGCTGCTGGCCTAATTGGACTTTCTCCTTTAGATTATGCTGGGATTGATCATGGACACTAGAGTAGTATGATGAAGAATAATGTTGCCATGTGGAGCATCACCAGACCTTCTTACCCTGTTGCCTCAGCACAGCATGGAACGACTTTTCTCTCTGTGTAAGCAGGCCCAGTAAGCAAGGAAAGCCCTGGGACCCTAGAGGCTTGTGGTCCAGAGCTGGAGACTTCAGCTGGTTCTGCCGCTCCCCCAGCGGTGTCACTGAGCACCATGAACCAGGAAGACCGGTTCCCTTCCACCTGGGTCACGTTGTCCAGCAGCCTCCACGTCTCCCCGCCTACTCCTCCCGTAACTTTTTAGAACCAAGAGTTTTCAGTACTGTGCATCGTTGTCCTCTCACCCACCCAATAAATCTTGAAACTGCCCTGCTGCTTGTTTTTGTTGTTTTTCTTCTCTTTTTAAGTCCATACCTCTATGTGCCGTCATGGGGTGGGTCATGAGCAGATCTTCCATATTTTACTCACTGAGATGTTCCGCTTAGCACACTCCCAAGGCTGACCTAGGGATAGGAGATGGGATGTAGAATTTGGACTAGGGGTTGAACAATCCCAAGTGCTTCTGGGGGAGCTCAGGTCTGGGAGAAAAGGAAAACTTTAGAATTGTTGGCTGAGGGCGCCTGGGTGGCTCAGATGGTTAAGCGTCTGCCTTCAGCTCAGGTCATGGTCCCAGGGTCCTGGGATCGAGTCCCGCGTCGGGCTCCCTGCTCCTTGGGAGCCTGCTTCTCCCTCTGCTTCTCTCTCTCTCTCTCGTCTCTCATGAATAAATGAATAAAATCTTTAAAAAAAAAAAAAAAATTGTTGGCTGAAGGACATCTGGGCCCGGGCTTTGGAAAAGAGTACGACGGTGGGGTGGACGCAGAGGCAGAGTCAGGGGCTGAAGTCCTGGAGGAGGCAGGAGTGCCCTGAGTGCTGGGGCCAGGTTTCCCTCAGGGGATTTTGGGAGATGGTTCTGAGCAAGGGCAGGCGTGGCGTGGGCGAGGAACACCGGTCCTTTGGAGAGCTCTGGGGCTGGGGTAGGCAAAGGCTAGGTGTCGGAATTTCTGTTGCTGTTGCCACACGGTAGATTTGGTCTCTGGGAGTTCTACTCAATGACAGAATGGCAGTGGTGTGCCCCGCAGAAGGAGAAAGGGAGGCGTTGATTGTCCATTCCTTGCATGGAAATTGAAATCCGCTTGATCAGGGCTGAGGTCAAAACCACGTAGTGAGGCCTACCTTTGTGAGTTCGGCACCTTGATGGCCTCAGTCCCCAGGAGGGATTCTTGGGGCTGAAGTGTCTACTCTGCCCACCAGCTCTGGCAAAGGCCCTTCTTTCCCCCTCACCCCCCTCCTGAACTCCCACCCAACATCACCCGCTCTCTCATGAAGGTCCCCCACCTACTCCACTCTCTGGGCCAGTGTCATCCAACCATGGCCTGGTCCTCTCGTGAGAAATGAACGCGTTTTTCCCCAGCTTGGCCCAAGTTCCTTTCCGGTGGAGTTTAACTGTTGGCTGTTGCCTTGCTATTTGTAGATGTCTTCTCTCTCACACTGACCAGCCCCTCATCTCAGGCAGCTTCCCGCCAGCTTCCATAGCGCTGTGTCAGCTTTGGGGAACCCTGTGCGCTGCATTCCCATCCCCTTTATTCTCTTTATGTTCTCATCATTTTCTTAAACTGCCTCCCCGCCCCGCACCTCAGTCCTGTGGCATCTCTGCTGCCACTTGGTCCATGATGTGTAGGAGGGGGCAGCGACGGAGCGCTGGGGAAGAAAGGAGGAGGTGACATTGCCATGGTTGCTGAAACAGCCAAGGGAGGGGCATCTTGGGGCTATGGAGGCGGATCACTGACCGTGGCTTGGCCCAGCATCACCAAAATGTCCTTCCCAGTAAGCCCAACTGGTCAGGTTGCGAAGGTGTCAGCCATCCGTTGCCCTGTTTCTGCAGCACCCTAGTACAAAGGTTGATCCGGGGAGATCAGGGAGGTCCTCGCCGCAGCAGCCGGCGCAGAGTCCGCACTCAGAGCTCAGCTCTCCTCAGTCAACAACTCGTTCACTTTCAAATTGTAAACGATCCTTGCCCCCGGCCCAGCCTCTTGGTCTGCCCTCCCCTGCCCTCTGCCCCCCCGGCCCCATCTGAGCCTCAGCCCTAGCATTGCCATTCCATTCTCCAGGGTACCTGCGGGGCCCTCCTCACTGCCCACGGTCTGCCTCTCCGTCCTCACCCCACCCGCCCCCCCCCGGGAGCACCAGAGGCCCCAGCCGTGCTACTACTGAAGGCCCCTGAACGTGCTCTCCCTTTCCTGGCCCACATGATTGGAATGCATCCTTCATGTCCAAGGTTGCCCTGACTCAGCTTGTGTCACTTCTTTCAGGAAGCCTTCCTTGGCTAAACCCCCAGCCAGACTGGATTCCCGGCCCTTCCTTTCCTTCATACCCAGTGTCAATCGTGTGCAGCACCATTCTAGGAATCAGTCAGCAAAAGAGCAAACCCGTCTTCACGGTACTTAACATTTTAGAGGACAGAGACAGACCATAAATAAAGTACTAAAATGTGTAGCATGCTAGAGAAGGGCTAAGGGAAAAAATAATGAAGCAGGGAAACGAGACAGGAAGTGTGGGGCAAGAAGGGGAGTGGCATCTGAAACTGAGCAGATAGGGAAGGCCTCACCTGGCAGGTGTGATTGGAGTCAAGGGAGGGCCTCTCATCTCTGGGCGTTCATGGCAGCCTTGCTGCCTCCATTACAGTGTAGACGGGGTGGTAGGAAGCTTTCCTCTGGGGTACCAGGCCCAGGGAACTGGGGGGACAGGAGGCCGAAGAAGCCACTGCTATACGCTGTGCCTGATTATGAATGGCTGCTATGTGGTGAGGGTGGCGGCCCATTCAAGTTGGGACTGGCCAGTCAGACTAGGCTGTGCATGTCTTGAGGGCGGGCTCCGTCTCTGCCAACTCCGCAGACCCCTTGCTCACCTCAACCACAGCTCAGTGCATGAGGGAAGCACAGCCACCCGAGGGCAGCCCTACCCGGTGACCTTGGTCTAGGACTAAGAGCAGGTTTTCCTCTTGGGGAGTTGTGATTGGTCGCAGGAACAGAAACAGGAAGAGACAGAGGGATTGAGTCCCTTTAACCACAGGATCTCAAGGTACGGAGCACTGAGCTCCTGTTGCAGGTGAGGGACCACTTCTAGAACTCTTCTAGGGGGAGGATGATATTTCAATTTCTAAACCACATCTGTGTTCCACATGGCCCGGGGTTCAGTTTTCCCCAAATTTTTGTGAGGCATGGCCAAGTGACCAAAGCTCCTGTCTTCCTTTTTTACTAGAGACCTTACATTTACCACCACTGTGTCGCTACTAGAGGGAGCCAAATGAGCCTCTGCCCCTAACAGCCTAAGGGTACAGTGACTGACACATGCCAGGAGCTCAGTCAGCATTCAAGGATGAGGAAGGAGGCCAATGGTGGTCTTGCCAGTGTGCACCAGGAATAGCTCACGGAGGCCTCTCCGTCCCCAGGACTACAACTGCCATGTCACCAGGATACCTAACTACACCTGCCCTGGGAGGCAGCCTAGTGAAATCATTTATAGCCTGTTGAATCCTCACAGTGTCCCTCAATCGCTGTGGGGCCTAGAGCACGTTCTTTTGCCTCCTTGAACCTCAGTTTCTGACTGTAATTCGACCATCAGCACGTACCCCCCACAGTAAGGATGAAATAAGGTGATGCATGTTCATTGCGTAACAGTACCTGCATCATACTGTGCACTCAATAAACGTCAACCATTTTTATTGGATGAGCACGTCTAGCTTGTTGACGGTTAACATGAAGAACAAATATGTCATGATGACAGACTCATTTGTTAACGTGACACCACAAATACTTTCTTTGCTAATTTGCAGATATCCCAGTAGGACTGGTGTTAATCATCGCCACCGCTGATCAAACTTTGATTAAATGCCACGCACTGTACTAAGTAAGCCCGTAGATATAATTACCTCGTTCAATCTTCACAACAACCCAGTGAGGTAGATTTCATTATCTTCCATTTTATAAATGAGGAAAACCAAGGCTCAGAGAAACGAAGGGACCTGTCTTACTTCTAATGAGTGGCTCAGCTGGCTTTCCACTGTCTGGTGTATTAAGTAGTGAAAAATGTTGCAGGCTGATTTCATAAATAGCATGAGCATATCAGGTTGTCAGATGCTTGTTTGTGCTGGAAAACTAGAAATTAGGGTATGTTACTATTCTGTCCCATCTGCTTCACATTGCCTATTTTCCAGTCTTCTAAAATATTCCCCATCTAAATCAACAGCCTTTAAGACTGAACCTGTGAACCTGACATGTACAGACAATAGGCATGTTTCAGCCAACACCAAAATATCAACTGTTGTAGATCTTTACTGTTGTTGCTTTTTTTGTTAGAGACCTTACATTTACCACCACTCTGCTGTTACTGTAGGAGAACAGAGAGCCAGAAGAATGAAGGTTCACTTGTCCATTCAAAAAATACTTATCAGGCACTATGCTAAGAATAGAGATACAGTGATGAAAAAGAAAGTTTCTGCCCTCAAGAGGATCACACACAAGTACTAAGAGAGTAAGTTTGGTTTTTTTTTTTAAGATTTTATTTATTTATTTGAGAGAGAGAATGAGAGAGAGAGAGAGAGGACATGAAAGGGGGGAGGGTCAGAGGGAGAAGCAGACTCCCTGCTGAGCAGGGAGCCCGATGCGGGACTCGATTCTGAGACTCCGGGATCATGACCTGAGCCGAAGGCAGTCGCTTAACCAACTGAGCCACCCAGGCGCCCTAAGATAGTAAGTTTTATTAATCCACATGTCTTTGAACAGTCACTGTGTGCTGAGTCTTGCTGTAAGCTGGGCATACAGCTCTGACCAAAGCAGAGGAGGGGTCTCATGGAGCTTATAGTCTAGAATAGCACTATCCAATAGAAACACAATGCAACGCACAAAGGTAATTTAAAGTTTTCCTAGTAGCCACTTAAATAAAAAGAGGATGAACTACATTTTAATAATATATTTTATTTAAGCCAATACATCAGAAAATATTGTCATTTCAGTATATAACCGACATAAAAAATTACTAATGAGATATCTGGCACTTTTTCCCAAGCTAAGTCTTTGAAATCTGGTGTGTATTTTATGCTCATAGCACATCTGGGTTTATATTAAGCACCTTTTGAGTGTTCAGTAGCCACATATGGCTGGCAGTTACCTTGCTGGACAGCAAAGATCTAGGTGGTGAGGGGTTCCAGGCTAATTCCATGTAAGAAGAGTGTCCTGAGACTGCCCCCTCTACCAGAAGGCTGCTGCATTCTGTAGAGTCTTAAAGAAGCTTCTCTTGCGTAGGTCCCCCATTCTCCGGTATCCCTCCT